TAGGTAGATAGATGTGTAGGGAGGTAGATGTGTAGGTAGGTAGATAGATGTGTAGGTAGGTAGATGTGTAGGGAGGTAGATAGATGTGTAGGGAGGTAGATAGATGTGTAGGTAGGTAGATGTGTAGGTAGATAGATGTATAGGTAGGTAGATAGATGTGTAGGGAGGTAGATGTGTAGGTAGATAGATGTAGGTAGGTAGATGTGTAGGTAGGTAGATGTAGGTAGGTAGATGTGTAGGTAGGTAGATGTAGGTAGGTAGATGTAGGGGAGGTATAGATGTGTAGGTAGGTAGATGTGTAGGGGAGGTAGATAGGATGTAGGGGAGTGTAGAGTGTAGGGAGGTAGATAGATGTGTAGGGAGGTAGATAGATGTGTAGGTAGGGAGATGTAGGGAGGTAGATAGATGTGTAGGGGAGGTAGGTAGATGTAGGAGGTAGGTAGATGTGTAGGGGAGGTAGGATAGGATGTAGGTAGGTAGATAGATGTGTAGGGGAGGTAGATAGATGTAGTAGGTAGATGTGTAGGGAGGTAGATAGATGTGTAGGGTAGGTAGATGTAGGGAGTGTAGGCAGATGTAGGAGGTAGATAGATGTAGGTAGGTAGATAGATGTGTAGGGAGGTAGATAGATGTGTAGGTAGGTAGGTAGGATGTAGGAGGTAGATAGATGTGTAGGGAGTAGGTAGATGTGTAGGGAGGTAGGTAGATGTGTAGGGAGGTAGATGTGTAGGTAGGTAGATAGATGTGTAGGGAGGTAGATAGATGTGTAGGTAGGTAGATACGTAGGTAAAAATCGTCATAGCTTACAAGCAGTATCAAAGGGCAGTATCTACAAGCAAAATCATGAACAACAACTATCAACAAGCAGTATCATATGTATTAGGAACAACAAGTATTAACAAGCAGTGTCATGTATCAGGGGGCAGTATCGTGTATCAACAAGTATCAACAAGCAGTATCATATGTATTAGGAACAACAAGTATTAACAAGCAGTGTCATGTATCAGGGGGCAGTATCGTGTATCAACAAGTATCAACAAGCAGTATCATATGTATTAGGAACAACAAGTATTAACAAGCAGTGTCATGTATCAGGGGGCAGTATCGTGTATCAACAAGTATCAACAAGCAGTATCATATGTATTAGGAACAACAAGTATTAACAAGCAGTGTCATGTATCAGGGGCAGTATCGTGTATCAACAAGTATCAACAAGCAGTATCATATGTATTAGGAACAACAAGTATTAACAAGCAGTGTCATGTATCAGGGGGCAGTATCGTGTATCCGCAGAGTGAAAACGAGAGAATTTGAACCCTAACAAAAACATAATTTATAGTCGTTTATTCACTATCAAACACATCCTATGTATTAAAAACCCGTACCGTATATAAAAAAGTATCCATAAAACCCGTATCATGTGTCAGGGAAACATATTTAAGCGAAACAGAATTACAGAAGCATAAATGAAAGAAAGAAAATGCCACTACTCTCACCATAGCAACACTAAATCATTGACCTGTAAGAGGGCAACACCATAACCCTTAGCAAAGCAAATTCAGGGATTTTGTGAGAGAAAAACTCGTATTTTATGGGGATTTTGGTTCATGTCAGTGTGGTAGGGGTGGGGTAGGGGTGTGTGTGGTGTGTGCAGGTGTGGCTGAAGTGCGGGGGTAGAGGAGGTGGGAGAGGGTGAGGGTTTTAATGGGCTGAATTCCTTTTTGAGGTTCAGTTAGAATGGCAAGACTCGGAGGGGCCCTTACAGCTCTCTGGATCAATATTCCCAACACGGTATAAATAATTCGTATTTTCTTCCGTATTTCCTTATTACTATACACTCTACAATACAATTTACTATATAATCAAATACTGCCTTCCATGTGTAATAATCCTAGTTGAGAAATAAGTTCAGATTTGTGTAGTAATGGATAATAATGCCTATGTTAGGATGAATGGCAACCGAGCATGAATAACAGACGAGGGGGTGAATAATGTACAACATCCCACGTAGCTTAATGAATAATCCAATATTTAAATCACTCCCCATCATTCTTGGTTAATCAACTATCCCAGATCATTATTATAAAAAATAGGATAAATTACGAACGAATGGCAATTGAAAATGAATAACAAATAGAATGAATAACACGATATGATGTACACTTTAATTAACCAAACAAGAGCTTAATCATCCTACATCATCCTTAGTTAATGAAGAAAACCAGAATGATGAGATAATTAAGGATATAAATAGAGAGATGGGGAGGTTGGGTGTTAGGCGGCAACTGAATGTAAATTGAAGGGACACTCACCCATGACTGGCCAGACCCAGGAGTCAAGGCCGTACCTCCGCCAGACGATGCACCCAGACGTACCCCCCTACCTCTTCCTCCTCCTACTCCATTATCTCCCCTTCCCTTACTCCTACTCCTCGTCATTCTTATACTATTCCTCCTCCAGTTGCTACTCATCCTCCTACTCCCACTACTCCTTATCCCTCCTCTTTATTCCCCCCCCCCCAACTCCCCTTGCCCCTCCCACAGAACCGCCAGACAATTATCCTACCAGACAATAACCAAACAAGGATTTATTTCTCATAGGACAAGCGAGGATTTATTTCCCATAGGATCCCTGTGTGGCAAAATCCAGGGGTGTGTGTGGGGGTGGGAGGGGGGTGATTTATCCTTGGAGAAAATCCCAAGGGGTATCATTTTGTCTACCCAGAATCCACCTGGTTATTAACTATTGAATATAATCCCACCAGAGGATTTCATACAGAATAAAATCCCACCAACTTACAACTTGGACAATATTCAATGGGACAAAATTCCGCTGGACGAAAAGCTGGCAACAAATACATCAAACATTTTCTAGCCTCAGTTTATTAAGTCTTTTGCTTCCCTCGTTTTTTGTTTTATCTAATGCCATATAAACATAGTTCTGTTTGGCGCGCTTTTTATTACTGAAGCATTAATAGTCCTTTTGTTTCACGAGGCTTTTGTTTCTAATTTCTGTACGTTGTGTTGCCTCCCACTGTTCTGGCTCTCTCTCTCTCTATCTCTATTTTCTCTGATATAATTGTCTCTGTCTCTAGGCACTCAATTTTACATTATTGTCTCTATCTCTCATTTATTTGTTTATTTACTTTCTCCCTCTCCCTCACGACTCCATTTTCTCCCTCCCTCCCTCCCTCACGACTCCATTTTCTCCCTCCCTCCCTCCCTCACGACTCCATTTTCTCCCTCCCTCCCTCACGACTCCATCTTCTCCCATTTCTCTCCCCCAACCTGTCTATCGGTCGATCGTCCATTCTTCTCCTCTCCCTCATTCCGTCTCCTCCCCAATTTCCATCTCTCCCTTTTATCATCCCCTATGCCTACCTCCCTTGTTGGTTCTATATTCTCTTGTCTTTATTATCTTGTTATCTGTCTCTCTCTCTACCCTTCCCAGTCTTGACCACCTGTTTACTTCAGCCATTCCCCCACATCCCCATTTCTGACCGTCTCTCTCTATCTCCCTCGTTTATTTACCCCTTCCTTGTTTCTCTCTCAATCCTCTCATTATATTTAACCCTCTCTCTCTCTCTCTGTCTGGCCCTCATCTCTCTCTCAATCCTCTCATTATGTTTAACCCTCTCTCTCTCTCTGTCTGGCCCTCATCTCTCTCTCAATCCTCTCATTATATTTAACCCTCTCTCTCTCTCTCTGTCTGGCCCTCATCTCTCTCTCCCCATTCCACCCCAAGCTCTCGTGCCAATGTTTGCCATGGTGCCACATCTCCAGCGCGTCCCCCCGTGTGCTGGTGTGCCAAACGTCCCTCCTCTCTGGACCATCATGTCAACAAACTCTCTAGATCAATACACGACTCTCTACCCTGAACCCTATGTCCTTCACTCTCTCTGAACCCTTGTGTTGCTGCTCATGAATCTTTGTTACTGTCCCTGAACCCTAGTTACTGTCCCTGAACCCTAGTTACTGTCCCTGAACTACCCTGTTCTGTTACTGAACCCTATGTCCTTCACTCTCTCTGAACCCTAGTTACTGCCCTGAATCTTTATGTTACTGTTTCTTAACCCTAGTTACTGTCCCTGAACCCTAGTTACTGTCCCTGAACCCTTGTAACTGCCCCTGAACCCTAGTTACTGTCCCTGAACCCTAGTTACTGTCCCTGAACCCTTGTAACTGCCCCTGAACCCTAGTTACTGTCCCTGAACCCTAGTTACTGTCCCTGAACTCTAGTTACTGTCCCTGAACCCTAGTTACTGTCTCTGAACCTTAGTTACTGTCCCTGAACCCTTGTAACTGCCCCAGAACTCTTATCATTGTCCCTGAACCCTTATCACAGCCTCTGAGCCCTCATTGCCCTTGAACCCTTAACAGCCCTTGAACCCTTATCACTGCCCCTGAACCCTTATAACCTCCTGAACAGCCCTGAACCCATATAACTGCCCCTGAACCCTTATCACAGCCCTGAACCCATATAACTGCCCCTGAACCCTTATCACAGCCCTGAACCCATATAACTGCCCCTGAACCCTTATCAAAGCCCTGAACCCATATAACTGCCCCTGAACCCTTATAACTGTCCTTGATTCTATAGCCTGACTCAATTTGATTAATGTTAAATCATCAGTCAATTATTTCAACTGGTTTTATTTTTTTTTACGTCAATGGGAATACAGCTCGGCCCCGACTTATGACCTGCCTCAGTCGTACCAATTTTGTCAAATTACTTATTTTCGAGTCCCAAAGTCAGTAGACAAAATTTTCGTTTGTAATTCACTTTAAAATGCCTGGCAAAGTGAGAGTTTTGTGGTGCTGAAAAGAAAAAGAGACACCCATTTTAGATTTTCTATGTATTATTTAAGCATTTTCGACTTACGACATGGATTTGGGTTCCTAACCCCGGGGAGGAGCTGTAATGCGACGTAAACAGAGTCGATTCAGCAGCTCGAGTCATTTAATACACTAGGTCGCTGGGTAATATTAAAAGGCGAGGAATAGACTTTATATTTATTTATTGGTTGCCATTGTTAAAACATGTAATAGATCCTCAACTAAAATTGGCATATTATGAACTCTAAATATATTAAAATATATCTCAGCCAGTTTAAAATGAAGTCAACTCTGTAAAACAAGAAATTCACGTAGTAATGCTTATTATTTCAATGTTCTGAAACTGCCGTAAAAATCACATTCTTCACCCTAGACACGGAGTTGGAGGTGTCAAAAAACTCCACCTTCAACTTAAAATAATTGTTTTTCACGTTTGTGCAAAAATAGAGATTTCAGAAACCCATAAACTCCGGGGCTGGAAACCAGAACCGGGAGAAGATTGGAAAAAAAAAAACAATAAAACATGGACTCCGTCTGAAGTTGCCACTAAACACACGCACACTACAGTACAGTACACGGTAAACCTGTCAACTGAATGGGTTGATCTATAATGTACTTGTAAGCTAAAATCTTCTAGTAAATAATTAAAAGTTAATAAAATATATAAAAACTCACCTAAGATAGAATAATTAAATAAAATAACAGTAAACTATCTAATGATAACTTGACATACAATGCTTCTTCACCTTCAGAAGATGGATAGCCAGAGATAACACACCGGACAAATAAGAACAAAACTAAAGCATTTGGCGGCGGCTTCCGGCGAACGCTCGCGGGTCACCGACACGTAGTATGTAGATGTAACTGAAGCGTTAATCATGGATTCCAGCAGACACTCGCGTCCACGGGTGACTCCCGGGGATCGTCACCCGTGGATTACATTACAGACATCCGCACGTTAAATAGTTTGCATTCAGCAATCGACCCATCGCCCAACAACAGGAGCCGGAGTCCTTCTTGCAGAGCTGCCAGGATGCCCTCATAAGCAGCTCTTAGGAGAACGCACAGTGCAGAATAAAAGCATTTCTTGAAGGACAACACTAAAATTACTTTATTTCAAACCTAAATCATTGTCTTCACCATTTTGTGTCGGCCTCGGCACCACACACAGATTGACAATTGAGTTGCCGACTTAAAGCTCATATGGAACGTTAACTGTAAATGTTTTGACGCTATCTCGGCCAGTATTGACCTCTGTCGTCTAAAGCTGTACAACGATTACACACAAAGTTATCGCTAATTCTCACAGTAATTTCCTCTGATGGAGACGTGGTGTTACTACAAGATGGCTGTGTGTGTGTGTACATCCTTGATACATCACTTAAGCACCAAACTCACACCTAATCAATACTTTAATCATTTCCTACAACACAAATACGATAAAATCTCCAGTTGGTGTCATAAATTACATCACAAACATTTTCCAAAACTTTCCACTAGACTCAAAATATTTTTGTATTCATCATCCATACATTAGAAGCATTGAATACAGATTAATCTTCACTAAACAACCTTGTATAACTATCAACTTTTAGTCACTAATCCCCTTCCATTGTACAAGTCTTCTATTTTGACACGATTTATTAAATACCTACAAAGACTTACTGTACTATGTCATTATCAACTACAAAAACCTTGAAATTAGTCTATCAAAAGTTTTCCCACAAATGGCCAAGTAGCAACCATTTGAGGCATCTATAAGATAATCACCACAATTTCTTCACCTACAGTGTTTCTATATATGATGAAGTACTGTATAGCACAATTGTGTCCTCTCATGGCTATAAGACTAATAGTATCTGGGTATCTCCTGAACAACACGGCCAGCGGTAACACTGTCACTCTGAGTGCTTGTGTCGTTTACATTCGAACATATTATTACACTTGCATATTGTACTAAGTGTGTTGGTAGTGATTTATGCTCAGCCAAACACAGTAAATGAACGCACTAATAAGGCATAATCGCTCCTATGGTAAAAGAGAGAGAGAGGTGGATCCATGAGTGTTTTATAGAGGGGGCTGATCAGACCTCCCTCACCAAGGACTCTTTGGGACTGAAAAATAATAATTATCCATTTCTTCCATTCAACAAGTGGGTCTATTATGTGTTTATGATTTATAAAGCTTCTAACAACAATCGGGAAACAAAAGACATAAGATTTTCTAATAAATTCTCAACCAGGATTGTTTTAAGGGAAATAAACAAATCTTCCATAACTTAAGACATTTATAAGTAATAAGTATCATTTACTTCAGTGAGTTTACTATGCGGCTGTAATGCTCGAAATCAGAGACGAGAAAAGTGAGGTTAGATTCGATTTTGAGTTCATAATGAGAGTTGTGACTGTCTCCTTGCTCTATATGGTAGAGGAGGGGGATGGATCCACCACAGTTAATAGCAAAGTTGAGGCTACTGAATTCACTAGTAAAGGAAAGTACTTGAGTGTTTTATCCTAATGTGTCAAGACCTATTGTGAAAAAGTAGGGGACTATTTTTGTTTATGTAGGCAGAACAAATAGGGAATTTACTGAGTCTTCTAAATATTGTATTTACAGATGTATTTTTATTACTAATAAATACTACAATACTGTATACTGTACTACAACAGTCACCGTTGGGGTGACCTTGACTGTTAGGGCAGCAGCAGAGGGAAAAATACCACTATCACAGCACCCAACCAAAACTAAAAGAAGACCTTATTAACCACACTTATTTACACTAAAAATAAAAAATATATTTTATTAAATACCAAATCTTTTGTATCTCTGGTAAATATCACTGGATGTAAGTTAGCGTCTTAGAGTAGCGCGGAGGTAAGCATCCGGGGACACCGTAAGAAACAAAAGAAGCCAGTTAGTCCCATTTGATGACGTGTTAGGTCCAGTGCAGGTCGCAATGTAGCAGCAGCAGAAATATCAAACAAAGACAGTTCTCACTCATTTACTTATTTAATAGTTTTACCATCGTACTGTATCTAACAGCGTGGCCAATTAACAAACAAAGCTCGATGCATAACTGTTATGCAAAGTGATGCTTGGGGGAAAAATTTGGTTTTGGCGGTAAACCGTGAAGTATGTCGTGCCGGGCCTCGTCGTTGGCCACCGCATGAGTGGCGTCAACTACTGAAGCCAAGTAGTGTCTCACCGCATTACCTGGTGATATCATTTACTCTTAAACAAAAGGCTTTTATTATTACTAATATTATTTCAGTACTATATTTTCTTAACTATGAAGTTTTGCTTTACACTATGGCTAAAATATCTAAACATGACCCTCAAGTGGCCAGTCTTGAACAAGTTTATATTCTGCTCAAAAATGTCATTCAAATATTAAAGTAATATCAAATTCAATTACAGTTTTGTTTGACAATGTGTACAGTACAGTATTACCTAAAAACGAATAAAGGTTTAAATGTTCTATGGTTCAGTAAATTAGGTTAAAGGTGTTAAGTAGGACGAGGATCTGTCTGAAGCTTGTATGGGTCTACCATGGCGACCCAAGTGGCCTGTAATGCCACACTCAACAGTTATGTCCTATGTTATGCACTTAATATACTGTACTGACATAGGGGGCGCCCCACACAGCATCAGCATCCTGTGCCACGTGTCCATACCATCGAGTAAGAGGGGCACCCCACGCCATGCCAGCGACTGTTAATAAAAAAGTACCCTAAAAACACTATCTGACGCCTCAATGAATTTTAAAGCTCTGGCCGAAGCACCACTACCACGGAAAATGGCTACCACTCGACGACACACAGAACTAAGCCCTCCTCCCCCCAGACTATCACAAACTTTTATTCTGCACTGTGGCTTTTGCTTATTACAATATTATTAACAGTAAATTGGAAAATCCTAAAATGTACAAGACAAACATTTGTTTCTTGGTCTCAAAAGATCCTTAACAATTGAGAGCCTAACTAGAAATTGAGATAAGATAACCAGCTGAGTCCCTGCAAGGTTGTACGTAAACGAGTCGTTAATCACCGCCACTCGGGTCCTTGCAACCACTCACCTCGTTAAAATGGCTTCATTAAAGTTATACAAAATTGTTGTACTAGTCTAAGAAATATAAATATTGATCTTGTCACCTAATGAGGGTTTTGATTACAATTACAATAAACAGAAAGTAAAAAAATTATGTAAAATGAAATATGCTCGTCAATAGCATTTTGATAAAGGAGGATGTCGACGTAGCTGTGCCGGCGTGATACAAGTTGACCATGGGGCCGCTCCGCACCCGACCTCCTTATCGTTACCACAACAATTATTACCAAACATTCACTTGTCACGGGCGACACAATTCATCGGTCACCGCAACATATCTCATCGCCTACTTTGGTCAGTTTACATTTCCCTTACCAAATACTGATACCTGTGCACTCTTACATGAGCTGAGGCAAAATATCACACCAACAAATTACAGTACGTATATCATTCACATAAATATGAGCCTCAATAACTCGGCCACACACGTTACTTTTGTATATCTGACCTCGATAAAAAACAGGAAAACCAAAGCTACAATAAACATCTTTTGGTGTTTTATGTGTTGGTCTAAACATTAGGGTTCAGTCTTAATTAAATTTTGGAAGTGTATTAAAAATTATGAAATTAAACAAATCTTTATACTGTATATGCAATTAGCTCTACTCATTGTAACATAAATGTGTCATACCAACGACCAAACCACACTGAAAACACCGCTTCTCATCCTATCAGCGAAGTCAAACAACGTTGGGTCTGGCTAGCACTTGAATGGGTGACAGCCTGGGAATACCATAAGGACCCCACTGGAAATAAACATCTGAGGGAATAACTAACCTTGCTTAAATAGCTTAAAAATCAACCAATCATTATTACAGCTTCATTTTGTTATTCAACCAATAACTGGCAAGTAAAGGTTCCCTACTCCCCATTTCGTATGTGCAAAAACGAAACTCAAGGATTATGAAACTTCCACTGACGATGACCAGCATTTAAAGGTTAAAGCTAGACACCAAAACACCTCCAATAAGCAGCGTGAGGAACATCAAAACAAACCCATCGTGTCCCGTCACCGGGTAAAGTCCGACCAAACCCCCAAAATAATGACATGAATGCATAGTGGCAAATTTGGTAAAGATGTTTAACCCAACTTTGGTTTTCCTGCTGTTAACAAGACAATACCTTCTAAAATATACAGTATAAAACTACAGTACAGTGTTGATATATTTCTTAAGAGTAACACAAAAAACTGCAACATGTAACAAGTGGTGCAATTTTCTCTCTTTTCGTTCTCATGTTCAAGAATACTGAAGACCTGTACAGCGTTTTAACATAATTTATTTTTCCACATTATGCAATATTCCCTTGATAATTAAACAAGTAATATTTGAAATGTTTACAAAAGCCAAGTTATCATATTAAACTTTCTTGATAATTAAACACGTGACAGTTTTTCAATCATAATTTCTGGTGTTTTTATCTTATGACTTTTCAAACACTTCTGCTGTATTTGTCCTTGTTATTTCCCCGCACTGTACTGGGGTTTGTGTGTCTGTTCGGCCATCCCACACATAACACTGGGAAAGGAGCAAAAAACAAGACATCATAATGATAAAAAAGTACAGTACGGTAAGCGAGAAGAATCACAATACCGGCCGTCAACATTGCACCTCACATTACGCCGTCCACAGGATGGGGAGCAGAGCGGTCGACACCTTGTTCCACGGCACCTCTGCGTCACACTACACACGACACGGTTCAACACCTACATTACAACACTACATGAAAAATGCAGTAATAATCATCCTACCCTAATGAGACTTTCATTGTTACATTCTTTGTACTGGGTCAGTCGTCTGAATACCTTGGCGGCGGAAGGTGCCAACTCAGGCGGCGGTGAGCAGCCGTCTCCACTCTGGGGAGTAGCTGCGAGTATATAAAATTATTCCTAAAACAAACCTCCAAAGACAGAGCGTTCAAACTAGTCTTCAAGTTGCTTTTACGTGAGAACTTCCACAAATATCGCACACTATCACTCGTACGACGTCTTGCATGTACAGTATGTGAGAACTTCCACAAATATCAGGGAGAATCAACCATGTGACAATCTGGCACCTTCATTACCAGTCCTTTGTCGGGTAGTGAGTGAGTTACTTTTCTCCGCCGTAAATAATAAGACCAACGGCTACTTCCCGGTCAGCCTCTCATGTGATTGGTCCTCGTGGAATGTGAAAACAAGCTAAGATCAACAAGAAAGACCTCAAATAACCTGACGGCCACTGTGACTACAGGCGGCCATGATGGAGGAAGGAGATTGATGGCCATGTAAGCTCCCTCCATTGATACTGTCTTCTTATCAAGGGCTATTATGAACCCCAGTAATGTTATTGTTTCCTCTACATCAAGAATTTCCTCACATGACATCTTGAAAAAGTGAACAAAGTTTAAGCCTTCTATCTGGTCCTAAATACCTCAGTTCAATTGTATAACAGATTAGATTTATTTAAGGAATAAATCTAGTAACATTACACAGTACCTTCTCTGATTATGTTATTATGAAGAACATAACACCACAAGAAAATGTCCGACGTCTGAGTGTAATCTGAAGTATCACACAAATTCAGACATAAATTACATAAACAAGTACAAGAAAATTAAACCTTAAAAAGTCGTAATATTCAGGTTAATTGAGGTTCTTGATACTGGTTTAGTCTTTGCATTACAGGAGGAACCCACGACTCACGTACTGCCGGCCAGACACACATTTATCACAAGGGACGTCAACCACTGCCCCTCGACACACTGAACGACACTTCACATGCTTCTAACTGCCCTTTTCTTTTTAACAATACTTGATTACTAATTTGGTCCTAAAGGGGAGGGGGATGTGGTTCCACGAGTCACTGCTTAACAAGACGATCATTCGGAATAATCTGACGAGAGTTGGCGTGAGCGTCCGAGGCGAGGTTACATCCTGACGGTCCTTCTCCTCCAGTTCCTTGTGTCGCTTAAAACCTTGTTCGATGTTGAGAAGTGAAGTGCACAACAACACACTACTGTAGTCCCAAGGTGAAGTACAGCCTCAAGTTTATCATAGAACACAGCTGTAAGTTTGAGTGAAAAGGAAGGAAGGAAGGAAGGAAGGAAGGAAAGGAAATGAATGACAGAAGGAAAGAAGGAAGAAAGGAAGGAAGGAAATGAATGACAGAAGGAAAGAAGGAAGGAAAGGAAGGAAGGAAGGAAAGAAAGGAAGGAAGGAAAGAAAGGGGAGAGGAAGGGAGGCAATAAGGGTTGAGTGTGGTGTGAGAAACTTAAGTGGTCAGATGCAGGAATGCAAGATAGATGTTAAAGGAAGATTTCAAGACATGAGCCACTAGTGAGGTTAGGGACAGAGGTAACAGGGAAATGGTACCAGAGGGAGGGGGGGAGGTATGAGAGGAGTGTGGGGGTAGAGGTGGGGGGTGAGGGATGTCAGATACCGTGGCAAAATGGTGTTTCCGATGAATTGTGTATAAACAGGTTGTTAAGATTTCAGAGTGTGTATCCCCATAGGCCAAGAGACAAGAATGAACACAAACTTAAAAAATTATCAGGAATGAACACAAGACCCGCATGGCCAATGGGTACAAAAATGGGTAAAAAAAATGGGTACAATATGAGTTTTCATTCCATAGGAGCAAATTAACACTCTAATTCAGCAATACAGGAAAATTCTTGTTTTTAATGAGGTAAAAGCCAGTATTCTGTGGTTGGGGCAAAACACACACATCCACACTCCACGATGTAAGGTTTGTGAATTTTGAATAAGACATAGAGTAGAGCAGAAGGGAGACAGGGTTGCATACTTGGTCTACTTTACAGGAAAAAAAAAAAAGATGATGATTATGACACGAATAATAATTAATAATCCAATTCCACAAAAGTTCCCCATCGATGGAAAATTCCCACGAGCATTCTTGACTGCCTGTTACACTTGATGAATTTACCTACAACCGCAGAAGACCCTAAATACAGCTCCCTGACTCACGTCCCGAGAAAGAACTTAACAACGGCCTCCCATCAATTTGGTTACTCTCACTCCACATGGACTAACCAATTTCATCTCTCCCTATCCTCTCAATATATTGGTTAATTTATATATATAAATACAGGGTGTCCATAAATAGTTACCCTAAAAACAGTATGCTCTCATGTTTTAATAAGGGTAATCATTTATGGACACCCTGTATATTTATCTTGTGATTGTCACCTTCGCAAACTTATATTCTTTCTTCGGGGGAAACGTTGACCCTTGTGATCCATTTATAATATTTTACTTATATTGACTTAATACTGCCATCACAGAACTGTTTTAAGTGCTTCATGAGGGAGAGATACTGGTGTAACTTGTGGTGATAGTACGGGGCATTGGTAAGTTGGGTAGGGTTGGCATGGGTTAGGTTAAGTTTGGCAGGGTTTGGTTGGGTTTGGTTTGGTTGGGATAGGTCAGGTTTGGTGGGGCTAGGTGCCAAGGTAAACGCTGTGAGGGACAATGGCTAAGGCCGGGTCATTGGGGGTAGGTGACTCAACATGCCGCCATCAGAGACATGATGGGTGAGGTGACCCGGTGGTAGACTGGGCAAGTAGTACGCCAGGCAAGATGACAAGACAGAGGAGGAAACGGGAATGAGTCAGCAACGTCAAGGAATATGTCGTAATCACTCGTGTCTTCAAGCCAGATGAAAAAGCCACGCACTGTCTCACAATTTTCTGTTTTCTTTCTTGTGGTTGAGAGGCTGAGAATAAATTAAAAACTGGCTTTGTCATAAGTGCAAAAATAGCCTATAAACAATACTTCTACAAAATGTAACAAGACGAGACGGCGACGAGCAGCAGCGTCACCGATGGCGTCGACTCTCCCAAAATTCATTGTTTCTAATTGACTACCAAATCTTACCATGTAGGTGTTGACCCAGGCCACTGCTCACTCTTCGTACCATAATTATTTATTACCTGAAAAAGACAAAACAGTAATTAACAGTGGCCTCAAGAGCAGAAATATGTGGGACACAGAACTGAAACGAGACAACCACCAGTAATCCCCCCCAAGACAACAGGTAATGATGTCTTTCAGTAATATCAATTAAATCTTCACTAACAATGCTACAATCTGCCACTTGTAGCATCTCAATACCTCCACGGTAATTTAAAGGTCCGCAAACATCAACTGCAATTTTTTACGGCACTTATCCTACTTCGGTTCTGTGCTCCTCAAATATTTTTAATAATTATAAAACCTCTCTAACAATGATTCATGGTGGTTGGATATACTGATTGTAATCCTAACTACTCAACAGTTAGCAGGTTACCCCCACTCCCTTAGCAAAGATGGAGCCAACAACTTTTTCTACAACAATTCCAGGTCTTACACAACAACTTTCTCAGCAACAATTCAAAATCTTAAAAAACAACAACTCTTTCTACAACAAATCAACAACTATTCCAGAAGATACTTAACAACTTTTCCACAACAATTCAACAACTATTCCAGAAGATACTTAACAACTTTTCCACAACAATTCAACAACTATTCCAGAAGATACTTAACAATTTTCTACAACAATTCAACAACTTACTTTTTCTATGGATTCTAAATCTTGTTGAAGTTGAGATTGTAAAGCCTTAAGGGTGTGTAGAGGCAACTTCTCCAGGTCAGTGTGGGGGTGAAGGGCCTGTATATACGGCCCTAGACGCCCCGATCGTAGCTCCTCCATCTCCTTCTGCTGGGCGGCGATCTTACCCACATACTGCAAGAAACAAACCTGTCTGGATATTGTAACAGGCTGACAAGATCCTAAATGCCTTCACTAGTAATTGTGTGTGTGTGTGTGTGTGTGTTTTATGAGTACTGTGTAGAGAAAGGTCAGTGTGGGAGAAAGTATTTTATGAGTACTGTGTGAGGAGAAAGTGCTTTGATTCTGTCACGTGTACAAAGTGTCATAAATCACATATTGTTAACTCCTAAAACTTACTTTACTTTAATTAAAAAAAATCAATGCAAACTCTGTTAAAAATCATTAAATTTGATATCCAAAGTTGCTTAAAAATCAATATCCATCAAAAACATTTCCTACTTATTGTTATCCATGCAAAAGAAATATTGAAAGTATCCTGAAATTTATGCAAAATAAGTTAGTTTTTTTGCTAAATATGATCAGTTTTTTGCTAAGTTCATCAACCCACAACAGGGACCCCAAATATAAACAACACTACATTTTCACACTATTGGCTCTACATAATGTAAAGCTACTCATAAATTTGGGATCATATGTAAATTAGCCCCCACAAGCTTATTTATTTCACCTGATGATTATACACACCAATGTTACCTGGAGGGAGGGGTAAGTAGGTTAGAGTAGCATCAGGTTTGGTTATCCATAAGTTAGATTAGGTTAGCAACTAGTTAATATTAGGTGAGGTTAGGTCAGGTCAAGTGAAGGTAGGTAAAAGTAAGTCAGGTTAAGATAAGTAAAGTCAGGTTGTGGTAGGTTAGGTTAGCATTAGGTCAGGTTATATTAAAGGTGAAATAAGCTGGGTGAGGCTAATCTTCTGGTGTTCCCTCTTAGAAATATTTGCCTAAGTCCTTATTAGATGATTTACTAAGCCCCACCCACTTTTGTAATAAGATAATGTGATTGGTTGCTGGTTACTACCCACTCAAGAATTACAGAATATGATTGGTTGCTGGCTACTACCCACTCAAGAATTATAAAATGTGATTGGTTGATGGGCTTTTCCACAGAGAGGGAGGCAAGGACTTCACTAATGCAGCACTGTGACTCACTTAGCAACCAGCAACCAATCACGTTCTCAGAGGTGCGACAGTTGCTTAAGGACGGCATTAAGTTAGTGGCACACAGTTAACGGGCCAACTGATATTCACACAAACACACAGGCAAGACTTCCCATACCTCCTCTTTGGTTTGTTCAGCAATCTTATACTTCCTGTTCGCTTCGTCTGCCTCACGTCTCCACGCCTCACACGCCGTACGTGCCTGAGCGATACCTTCCTCCCATGATGCGAGCTATGGGACGTTTACAATTAATCAAGTCAGCTGCAGTATATTAGGCATGAGGCGAGGCATTTAGAGATTTCGTGAAGACTGCGCACCCCGGCTTATATCACCTGATTGACACCTTAACCCCTTCACTATGGGGATGCAGCTTTTAGTATTTTATTTGGTTAACGACAGATGATTTTACACAGCAGAGAAGGGACCTCGTACACAAGTGGTTAATACTAAATAGTGGGGTTAGGTTAGGTTAGCATTAGGGTGGTTAATCATCAGGTGAAATAAGCTGGGGTGCCTAATCTCCACAACATCTAAATATATAAGTGTCAGTAAGATGGCAGCAAATTGATGAGTGTGTGTAAGCGACATGAACGACGACGTACAGGAGCGAAAGGTGAAAGAATCGAGCGTCAAAAGTAAGGAAGGAAAAAATGTAGGAATAAGTGTGTGTGTAAAAGTACATCTTATGTGGCTAAGTTAAGACTATCTGGTGTTGATGAGGTACTGTACTGGCATCGAGAGAGAGAGAGAGCACAGTACAATAATATTATATAAAATGATAGGAAGAAAAATTACTGACCCCCATCCATTCACTTGGGCACAGGGTCGCCTCTGTGATGAATAAATCCTTCTGGTATTACCCAAAGTGGCATCCCCACAGTGAAGAGGTTAAAGTGTTGTTAGTAAGTGGTTCCAGACCCTAATCACCTCATTGTGATTTGTGTAATGTAAGTGATAATACCAAGTGATCAATTATACGATGGAAGATGTAGATGACATGAAGATTAACCACCCAGTTTATTTCACCTGATATTTAAATTCTCACACTAACCTAACCTAACCAAATCTAAACCAACCTAACCCTCAAGTAGTGTCATCAACAGTGGACGTTTCATGTTTCTTGCGTTCCATTTTCGAGTGTATGGGGAGTGTGGGAGTAGGTAGGGAGTCCATAGCCACCAGTTAAGGGATAATTAACCAGGTGAAATAAGCTGAGGGTGGCTAATCTTCAGGTGATACTAAGACGCTCATCCCTCCAAAAACTACTATTTCAAAATTTAAAACCACCTGTAACTAAAACTTAATTGAGTTACTCAACCACTGACAAAAGGTATTTATTTAGGGCATTAAGTTCTCAGATTTACACAACTCTGGTGAATGTCCGTTACTGATCCAAATGTTACACGATGAGCAAAAGATAATAAAAATAAGGTACTATACTACTAATAATAATACAGTAATAATAACAAAAATAATAATAATAATAAGTAAAAATAATACTAATACCAATAATAATAAAGTAATAATAATAATAACAGGCAACATGACCCACCTTGACTCTATTGGTGGCCAACTCTTCCCTCAGTCGGTGGATCTCTGTGGTGCTGGTGCCGCTGTTGTTGGCGTAGGCAGACATGAGTGGGGACTGAGAGAGGTGGTTACTGAGGGGGTTTCTGCTGTGGGGGGACATGTTGGAGCCCAGGTCGAAGAATCCTCCGCTAGGGCCGCTCGTCGACGAAAACACTCCGCTGCCGCTAATTTTCCCTACTCCGTTGGTGCCTATGAAAGCCGCTGCTCCCTGCAAGTCAACACAAAATACACCATTGACAATAACCTGTTGTTGGCAAAATACAGTACAAATTACAGCTATTTTAGTAGATATAGAATACAGTAGTTAGTGTTACAGCTAATAATACAGATATATTATACTTAATATTACAGGAATTGTCATGAAATATTAACTATGAGAGTTAATATGTTTTGAAATAATAATACTGTCTTAGAAATAATCAAACTATTAAATCAAGAAATAATTAAAATATTACAGCAATTGCCTGAGAAATAGCTACTGTATTATGACATCGATCAAGAAATACAAAAAAATCTGATGTTCTTTGTCGTCCACACACAGACCTGGTCGAGGGAGTTTTCTCGATGTAAAGACGACTGCAGGAATGAATGCGGGAAGGCCGGAGAAGAGGTGGACGACGGCGAAGGATTAGAGATTAAGCCGCCCGACCGTTCCTGGAAACTGGAACCGGGGATATTTACCGGGGCACTAGACCCAAGCAAACCTGAGAGAGAGAGAGAGTATTGAGTCCTCGAAGAGACAGAGGACACTGTTGATGTAACGTGAGTGTGCTATTACTTGGTCTGAACTAGCTATAACTTGGCCTCATCTAACAATAATTTGGCCTGAACTAACTATAACCCGGTCTGAACTAGAAATAAGTAGGCCTGAACCAGCAATAACCAAACTTGAACCATCAATAACTTGGCCCAAATCAACTATAACTTGGCCTGAACTAAAAAAAAATTAGGCTTGAACTAGCAACAATCTGGCTTAAACTAGCAACAACCTGGCATAAACTAGCAACAACCTGGCATAAACTAGCAACAATCTGGCATAAACTAGCAACAACCTGGCATAAACTAGCAACAACCTGGCATAAACTAGCAACAATCTGGCATAAACTAGCAACAACCTGGCATAAACTAGCAACAATCTGGCATAAACTAGCAACAACCTGGCATAAACTAGCAACAACATGGCATAAACTAGCAACAACCTGGTATAAACTAGCAATAACCTGGCCTAAACCAACACTCTCTATCACACCAAAAACTCAACTAACCCCTTGTGCACAGGACCCCCCCCTCTAAGCTGCATACAACCATCTTGCACCACCCAAATAACATATTAAAAGTGGCATCCATGTACTGAAGGAATTATGTCAGTCATATAAGAGTTACTGTATTTAGCCAGAACAAATCCATCCGGTACATAAATAAATCAATTAAAATCAAGACAAAACCTGCAGAAGTAAATAATATAGGGCGTCCGAGGCCTAAATGTTGGTAGTAAACATTGCACTATTGTCTGGCCTGTATACACTAACCCACACACACACACACACACATGTATACACAGTTTTGTAATTTTTAGTATGTTATAAATGCATTTCTAACATAATCTCTCAGTGAATAAATACCAATACGTTCTCCTGTTGATGCATTATTCTCTTCACCCTTACACTGATAAATGATCAACTTGTTATTTATCTTGTAATTAATATGTTACATTCTATACACCACCTTGTAATTACTGTCATTATTATCACAGCCAATTATCACATACACACACACCTTGTAATTATCACCATTATTATACAGTCGATTAAGAGATATACACCACACATTGTAATTATCATCACCGATTATCATACACACCCCACATCACTCGGTAATTACCATCATTTCATGTAGTACATTGCTAATTATCACATATACACCACGTTGTAATTATCACCATAATCATACAGGCAATTATCACAAACACACCACACATCATCTTGCAATTATCATCACCAATTCAGCCAATTATCAGCAAGTAATTATGATCATTAATCACCTCTTCAATACTCTCAACAGTTGTCCTTACCTGAACTAGCTAAACCCGTTGATATAGAATTACTAAAAGAATTATTTTCCACTTCTAGTTCTCTATCTAAAGATGCTGCGATGTTCAAAGGCTCATCTAGGTTTAACTCTTCTAAAGCACTTCCTGTTGAGAGAGAACACAAGAGAGTGATATTAGTGTCTCTTTATATTCTAACATGAGAGAAATTGATCTAAGGATTGACAAATTGATCTCAGGATTGATAGATTGATGTATACAGTACACTAAGTGGGATACCTGACATAACACACACAATTGATAAAGTTATATGGTTACATGGCCACCCCACTTCATCTTAACGTGACAGTCATACTTTGCGCATCTCTTGAGGCCAAAGAGTGTAGCTATCTCATGATGATTAGGTAGGGTGGACAGGTTCCTTGTATATCACCAGTACTGTACTACAGGTTCCTTGTATATCACCAGTACTGTACTACAAGTGGCCATCAAACTTTTACAATTCTGTGTGTTGTGTCAGGTGTCCCATTAAAGGTGTATTACTGATCTAGTGTATATGCCAATTAGGGAGATTACTGCCCCACTGCCTCTTTATAACTAACCTAAGAGAGATTACCACCCCTTTAACATGAAATAGATTCCCACCCTTTTATAACTAACATATTAATACAGTAACCACTTTTAATCAGTCACAACTAACAACATTTACAACATCCTCTTATAACTAACACCAAGACTAAAAACATTAATATCATGGCAGGATTTTTACTTCAACTACCTGAGTGACCGGGTCTATCTACAAACACCTAGTTGGTTTTTATATCACTGTATATCAATATCCCAAACTCATAATCCAGCACAAAATTTTGATAACATTTCTCTTCCACAACTCCTCTTGGTATAATACACTAACATTCTGATAGTCCATATAACTACTCCCACATTCATTTCTCTATCTACCTCATTTAGCAGCCACTTCTTCCATTCTTTATCCAATTTTCATCTACTTTCTGTGTCATCTTTTGTTTCGTTTACATATCTTCATATTCGCACTAGTCCATAGTCTTTCACCTTTACAAAAAAAATTATTTCTCAGTCAACTCTTTCCTTTATCCTAAGAAACATATCTCTCACTAGTGTATTTTTATCATACAAATATTTCTGTTTCATTTTTAATCAGTAATCAAGAATGAGACCATTTGGATTTTTAGCTTTTATGGATCACCTGAGTATTAGCCCAAGTGCTCATCTGTTGATTAGGCTAAAGTGCCCACCTGAAGACTAGTCCCCAAATGCCCACCTGTAGATTAGCCCCTAGGTACTCATCTGAAGTTTTGCCTCCCCCCTTAATCAGCCTCAAGTTTAACCCACCTGAAATTTTCTATGAGGGTTCGTTAATCTTCAAGTGATCCCGAAATCACAAATGGTCTCGAGGACAACACAGCTTCTAATAAACAAACAGGCATAATTAAACAAGCTTTCTGAATGACTCACCAACACCTACAAACTCACTCTCACATTCAGAAGGACTCGGAGGTCTTGGGTGGAAGGCATCAAGGACACTAAACACACCACTGAAGGTAATGTCTGTCCCCTACCAGAGGTTCAATATATAACACAGGGAAGCAACATCAAAATCACCCATTATTTTTTGGTTATTTAATGAAAGGAATATAATTTTGCTTTGTTGGACAGACACAAATGACATTAAATTATAAACTCCCCAAATTCTATTAAGTGGCATAAAAAGAGATGATAGGAAGGAAAGAATAAGAGGAGAAAGGTAAAGAAGTGGATATCCAGAACTTATAAAAGCTTAGATTCTCAAAGATTCCAATGTTAAAATTTCATCTAACCTAGAACACACTGACCTGCCTCACTTCAGCCATAAAACAGAAGGATGGCGGCAAAATGGTGTAGAAACCCCTTATAGACACTACCATAATACTGTACTACACACTTCCTTATCTTAACTTACAGGAAGAAGAAAAACATTTGAATCTTTGAGAAGCCAAGATCACTGTCGACTATACTCACCGACTACAGATTCCACAGTGTCACTTGTGGGGTAGAACGGCGGGGCCAGGGGAGACACCGTCGATGACAGGCTAGAGGGTAACGAGGATACGAAGGACGACGTCTGCGTGACGGGCATGGAGACCGGCAGCGTGATGGGCAGGCTGACGGGCGGCGGGTGGCTGGGGATCATGTTGGATAGGAAGAGGTTCTGTCTCCGTTTGCTCTTCTCTTGTAAATCTAACGTGTGATCATTGTCTATAGCGGCTAACTGTTTCTTAAAATTGGTCTCCCGGTCTTCTCGTTCAGACCCGGGAGCTTTGTGGTACGAACTAATACCGCCTACGTTGAGGCTCATGCTGGCACCTAAGCTGCCGCTCAAACTTAAATGGTCCGACGACCCCCCCAGGAGTGTGTTCCCGCTGAAGTGGCGCGGTTTGCTGCCTATTGGTGCTAGAGGCGGGGGAGGATGACTCATCCCGTTGCCAAATACAGAATCTATGTTATTGCTAATGCTTGATATCTGGAAACATGAAGGAAATTATTTAGTCAACAATAATGTAAACACCAATTAAAACATTATTAAGAAGAAAACTATTGAATATCTTAAATGAAATTCCTTAAAATCATCTTGAATACTGTAAGGTAAGTTTTGGAAATTAGCAACTAAAAAATAGCCAATCCACTATTTGTTATGGTTCAAGAATGTGGACTGTTAAAAGTGGTGACATCCATCTATACAAACCTACCCCTCCACACACACATAAACCACCCACATCTCCCCCATACTTACCACCCCACACAAACCCACCCATACCTACTCCACACACATTCCCCCACATCCATACCCATACACAAACCCTCCCACATCCCACACATACCTACCCTCCACACACAAACATTCCCCCACATCCCTACCCATACACAAACCCTCCCACATCCCACACATACCTACCCTCCACACACAAACCCTCCCACATCCCACACATACCTACCCTCCACACACAAACCCTCACACAAACCCTCCCACATCCCTACCCCCCCCCTCCCCGAAATAGGAAACTTACAGAACTAGTTTTAGATTGAGAAGAGCTACAGTGTGGTGCTGAAGCCGAGCTACAGGACGGTGCTATATGGTTGTCTGAGGGGAGAGCAGACTGTAGTATATCAGCTAAACTTGTCCCGGTGCAATTTTCACTCGCGGCTGTTTCCCTAACTTGGGTCATTTCCTCTGTAAGTAAAAAAAATAATATATTATAGATTCACCAATGTTATGATTACTTGTGTTATTCATTATTTATGTTATTTATCTTGCATTATTTGGTTTATTTATTTAAGTCTTAATTTTTATTCAGCGATGTAATTACCACAATCAATCAAATTATGTGTAGTTGAAGGAATGATTATAAGTGTGTATAGAAGTGTGTATTATTTGGATGTTCAAACTATATAAATTTTGTAGTTCAGTCATATACATTTTTGAGTCATTCTTATCTATTTTGGAGGTGCTGTACACTTAAATGCTTGAGAGAGAGAGAGAGAGAGAGAGAGAGAGAGAGAGAAAACTAAGTCAAAACCCCCAATCAGAACACAAATAAACACAAACATCAGAACTACTATAAGGAACGAGCGTACACCAAAACAAAACCCAAAATATAAACGCCACAACTTACGATCTTGATGAGCAAAGGCACAGAAGGCGCCTCGTGGGCAGTAGCCGTTCTGTTGGATGTCGTTGCATTTGGTGGACTTGTAGATCTCCGGGTGGAACTGTTGCTCTGTGCGGGTGTGGCAGTACTGGCATGAGTCTCCATTGTCGCAGTTGCTGGGCTCCCCCCACTCATCTCCGTGTTTGACGTTAGGGCATGCGGTGGACCTGTAGATGAGGACCTGGTGTTATACAGGTACCTTAATTACTGCTAGACCTGTAGATGAGGACCTGGTGTTATACAGGTCTTAGGAATACAGGTACCTTAATTACTGCTAGACCTGTAGATGAGGACCTGGTGTTATACAGGTCTTAGGAATACAGGTACCTTAATTACTGCTAGACCTGTAGATGAGGACCTGGTGTTATACAGGTCTTAGGAATACAGGTACCTTAATTACTGCTAGACCTGTAGATGAGGACCTGGTGTTATACAGGTCTTAGGAATACAGGTACCTTAATTACTGCTAGACCTGTAGATGAGGACCTGGTGTTATACAGGTCTTAGGAATACAGGTACCTTAATTACTGCTAGACCTGGTGATGAGGACCTGGTGTTATACAGGTCTTAGGAAAACCTCAACTTAACACCGCAAGACTTGTCAAATGAGGTCCTGATTTTAGGAAACCTTCTACTAAAGACCACAAGACTTAAGACCAATCTCTAACCTACAGAACCCATCAACAATAGACAGTTAAGTACAGAAGACTACACAGACCGACCGAGACTGACAGACAGACAGGCAAACACTTACCTATATTTACACTTTTTCGGCGATCTTCTTCTGTCGCGGGAATTGTGATACTGAGGACATGCGTAACCTTGACGACATAATCTGGGAGGTCGTTTACACTGTTCTGTCTTGTAATTGGCTAAAACATAACTTGTATCTGCAGGGAGAGAGATAAAGGGGGTTTAGTGTATCGAAGACTCCAGCCTCCATTGATAGTGTTTATTTTAATGTTTTATATGTTTGTATTTATGTCATTTGTATATTTTGGTGGTTAATGAACTTATCTATCTAACTATCCAGCCATTCACCTATCTACCTATTTATCATCTATTCACCTATCTGTCTATTTATCTATCTATTCATCCATCCATCTATATACCTATGGTTACAGATTAACAGAAATAGTTAATTTATTATTGATGATAGTTAGCACCAGACTAACGAGTATACAGTAAATATATAAAATCACGGTAAAACTACGTCCAACCTTCACGTCGGTTAGGTTAGGTCAGGTCAAGTTAGGTATGCATTAGTGGTTAACCTTCAGGGTGAAATAATCTGGGGACTAATCTTCAGATGACCCCAATAAACTATTCAGACAAAGCCGAACCACCGAGACCATTCTTACTAAAACTACCTTACATCCAATCACCACGTCCTGCTCACACAAGTCACGATAACAAACGACTCCACGCCCCCAAAACAGTCAATAATATTTACCTTGCCATTTGGGGTCATCGTTAACCATATTTCTCTCCTTGTCGAGGTTGTTTGGCCCCGAGCCGTTGATGCCGTCGTGGTCCATCATCTCCAGCACCTGTAGTTCCCGGATGTCATAGACGGGAGGTCTGGTGGGGAGGAACCTGACTTGTAGATTAAACAATATGTGGTACTCTGGGTGATGGGGGAGGAGGAGAAGGAGGATGAGGATGGGGAGGTGGAAAAGGATCTGGAGGAGAAGTGAGAGGGGATGTGGAGAAGAGGGTGTGGAGAGGTGGGAAGGGATGTGGAGGAGAAGAGGGAGGAGATAAAACCAATGAATAGAATAATAACAAGACACACAGCATAAAACAATCACAACAAACTGATAAAAATAATTATCTCTCATCCTTACAGATTCCCGGTTGGTTAAAGCCATCGAGGGCGACCAGAGCTGTACACATCTCACATTAACATTCTCTTAACACATCTCAAACTAACATTCTCTTAACACAACCCACAATAATAATCTCTAACACATCTTTACCAACCACAGCAACTTGATCCTGTATGGGGTCCCTTTAGTAACTATTAATTTCCTTAACTCATTTTTTGTTCATATATTTTCATTTTTTATTGAATATATTTTTGCAATTAATTGTTTGTTTTTTTAAATCTTTCCAAGGGGATTATAGTGAGAGTTTATTTTTCATGTTAATTATGGGCTTGTGACGGCACCATCGCTAGCTATAATGAGGCGTATTGATAATGACGACTAAACCAATGGCGCCCAAATTAGATTCTTGTTGATTGATTCGTCACTATCAATGGGAGCGCCTCGGTAACCAGATATAAGCCACACACACATATAGGATATTGAGGTTATTGGAATAATTAAGTTATTTCAACAGCAAGTTTGTAGATATTGATCAAAAGATGTTGGTCTAGATTCACTGAAAAATATAAGTTAGGTATATGTACCTTAAAGAGAATGGTCAGACTTGTTAGTGTCGGTACTAAATGACACAACCCCCGCCAACTCTCACTAGACACGCCACCAACACGGGCCTCACCACACACTCGGAAGACCAGATACCGTACTGACGATCACTATACTCCACTCCCATGATGTTCCACCACTCCTGCAAACAATAATACCCATAATGGCTCCCTCTTACTCCACAACTAATGGTTAGTGAACTTGTATAATTACCAGACACATGACACTACTAAGAGTGGTGGTAAGCACGTTCCTCAGAACATCCTGCTTATAGTGGCGTGTCCTCCCACAAACACTTCCAACTGTAAACAATTATTATTATTGTCTCATAAATTTTGTGTCATCAAGAAGTTAACCTAAACTACTGTTCCTTCATCTTACATTAATAATAACTTCATAGTTTAATCATTTAAGGTACAGTACCAACAAAGGTCAATCAATATGTATCTTGCGTAAAACAATTCTGCCACTGATTAGTTTACACTCATCCTCAGTCTGCCCTTTGTTAGGCTGACTGCATCCCTCCATTAAAGACATTATATCCTCACAATTTGGTTGAAATTCCTCAATTCTTGAGTGAGTAAAAGACTACGACCGGGTGAGGTACAAGGTGTGTGGAGTCGTCCAAGCAGGAAATAAATCAAAACAACTGGGACACAGACTCAGGTAAGGCTCTACAAGAAGCAAAACTTGGTGGTCATGTTAATATATACAGTATTTACCCCCACAAAAATTCTCTCTTATTGGTAAAGTATTTTCAAAATAAACTACAAAACTTACTCTAACAGATCAAGTTTTAGTGAAACTTACTCCAGTAACCACTGAGGTGCGAACGTATGTACAGTAACTATGTCAACAAGATCATAAAATCATCCTCTTGGTTGATCTTTTAAACCTGGCCATCACCTGATGTAAAGTCTTATACATTTCCTCAAATTCACATCACTTCTAAACATGGGTCCAAACTGTCATTAATCAGTAAGTCCTCAATGAATAATCTAAACCACAAAATTTAGAAATATAAATTTGTAATAAAAAGGATTTTAATTTATTTCAAATTTGTCTCAGACTTTGACAGGTAGAATTTTCCACTAAAGATCCCAAATTTCTGACTCGGTCAGAATTTTTTCGATTCGGGTGGTAATTGCTCCCATTGGCCCCCCCCCCCCAGCTATGCCACTGCCCCCATGATTAACCTTTAAGTGACAGCTACCATCAGTGGAAGTCAGCTGTAGGGACGGCGGCCATTTCAAGTTTCCTTGCGCTTCATTTTTGTGCATACAGGGACAGAGAAGGGAATCCTGAGCCAGATTGCTTATTTCACTTTAAGATTAACCACCATAACGCTAACCTAACCTAACCCCCACATCGAGTTAGGGTATTTAATCATCAGGTGAAATAAGCTCTGTGGAGGGGGGTTAATCTTCAGGTGATCCAACTTTGTATAATACAGTATTGACCAGTTTGACCCAAAGAGGAAAGTGCTTTATGCCAAACACCAACTTTGATTAGAACCATAAAACTTTTCCCACAATACAAAAGGGAAACGCAAGCAACGGCAGAGATCATGCGTTGATACCACCACCCGGCCTTCCTATACTGTCACACACACTCCTACTTTAACAATAAATCTTTCTCTTCTATAAAAATACCACCATAATAGTACATCCTCTTTCTGCAATAAGTCTTTCTATTCTCTAACATTCTCTCTCATTTTCAACAATACATTTCTCTCCATCATTCACTCTTCTCCAACAATACATTTCTCTCCATCATTCCCTCTTCTCCAACAATACCCTCCATCTTTCTCCACCAACTCCCATTAACCCTCCTCAACATGGATTCTCAAGTCAACACACAGTCAATTTCATAATAAATCAAACAGAAATAGATCAGAGGCGTCGTTCATTATCATACATCAATTCACCAAGACATCCCATGCGTTCTGTGGTTAGCTAATCCTTATAGACTATAGTACTCAGTTTCCTTCACTACTGGGATGCCATTTTTTTATTTTATTTGGCTAATACTAAAGGATTTTATTTGTTTAATGCAAATGATTTTATTCAGTCACTTTTAAAAATTTATTTAGCCAACTACAGATGATTTTACTCAGAAGAGAAGGGACTTGTACACATTTCACAAGTTTAGGCATAAGACCAGTGGTTCCCAAGCTTTTTTGGCTGCGGCCAAAAATTTTCCAACAATACGATGTGGTGACCCTCAGCCATATAATATATTATATAGCTTGAATGTTAAGCAAAAATTTTTTTATGACTTTATGACAAGCACTATATTTTTAAATTGTCTGAGGGCCCCTCGTGACCCTACTGAGGACACCCCGCGACCTGAGGTTGGGAACCGCTGCATTAGACAGACTAACTCTCACCCCAACATACATAAACGTCTAAGATACTTTTCCACGTGAACTGTGAGGTCTACTGCCTGGTGTTGGAGTTCATGATGTGTGAGACAGTGACAGACACTTCCCAACTCGGTAGTGATAGACTTACTGGGAGTTAAAGGTCGGCCAAATGACCTCACAGCCGCTCTGTATCAATGACTGATGGATAATTACACATAGTTTAATGCTAGTACGGACGGACGGACGGACGGACGGGCAGACGGACACACACACACAAAATATTCCAACATTGAGATCACCTGAAGATTATCCACCCCAGTTTCTTTTTACCTCATCATTAAGCAACCTAACAATACCTGGGGGATGGTGTAAGGTTAGCATTAGGGAAAAATAACCTTGGTGGGCTAATCTTCAGGTGATCCCAATAAACAAATAGACAGGAAAACAGTACATCCCCAAATGACTCGTGTAAGGAATAAACCAAAAATACAGGTAGGATCGCAAACTCACCTGACATCCTCTACACCATGAGCAAACGCACAGTGGGGGCCATTTTTAACGCACATGCCCCTAGTGTCTGTATCGTGAACGCACATGCCCGTCTTATAGTATCTAAGGTGATATCGTCTTTCTGTGTCACCTGCTGTTCGGTGAAGGTACGGACACCTGTGGAGGAGGACATGGCAGGTTATTATATATATATACATGTATAGGCTGAGCAAGGTAGTGTATCTGGACGGAAACTACGACTGACCTAACCAACCATGATTGACCTAATGTACCAAACCTGACTTAACCAACCAAAGAAGCCTACCTAACCTAATAGAACTTGACCTAACCAACCAAAGAAACCTACCTAACCTAACCAACCAAAGAAACCTACCTAACCTAACCAACCAAAGAAACCTACCTATCCTAACCAACCAAAGAAACCTACCTAACCTAATAGAACTTGACCTAACCAACCAAAGAAACCTACCTAACCTAACCAACCAAAGAAACCTACCTAACCTATCCAACCAAAGAAACCTACCTATCCTAACCAACCAAAGAAACCTACCTAACCTAATAGAACTTGACCTAACCAACCAAAGAAACCTACATAACCTAAGAGAACCTAACTAACCTATCCTGGACGGACTAAAGATTAACATTAACCGAGAGTTCTATACACAGTTTAGGAATATTTAACAGGAATTCCAAATTACTGAAACGGTTAACACTAGATATAATACCCATAGATGGTTAATTAGCATAAACTTTCTTAGATCACAAACACTCCTTCATGTGACACAAACAATGACTCAAGTGACATAAACCTTCCTCTGACACAAACTAATTTTGGTAACACAAAAATCTATCAAGTGACACAAACGATCTATCATGTGACACAAACCAACTTTCAAGTGCCACAAACAAACTTTTAAGTGACACAAATAAACTTCTAAGTGACAAACAAACTTTCAAGTGCCACAAACAAACTTTTAAATGACACAAATAAACTTTTAAATGACACAAATAAACTTTTAAATGACACAAATAAACTTTCAAGTGACAACAAACTTTCAAATGACACAAACTTTTAATTGACACAAATGAACTTCTAAGTGACAAACAAACTTTCAAGTGACACAAATAAACTTTTAAATGACACAAATAAACTTTCAAGTGACAAACAAACTTTCAAATGACACAAACTTTTAAGTGACACAAATACATTTCAATGCGATAAACTTCCATGAGATAATTTAATACACCAAAGAAGCCGCTAAGTGACACAAAAACTATTAATGAGAGAGAGAGAGAGAGGTATGGTGACGATAGAGAGGGGTATGGTGACGATACACACTCTACACAATACATATTCAGTAAGGTATTGTACCTATTGGATATTTATCAAGTTTAGCATTTAAATAATTATTGGGGATGTAATATAGTGATAAAGGAATGAAGGAACAGGAGGGAGGGAGAGAAAGGGGGTGTGGTGCAGATACGCTAAGCACACTCAGTAACGTCGCTATTGGATATATATCAATATTTTAGTACTTAAATAATAGTTAGGGATGTATATATTGATAAGGGAATGAAGGAAAAGAAGGATAAATAAGGAAGAAGGTGAGGGAGGCGTGGTGGTGGAGGCGGCACCGCATTGTTTACAAACACAACCACTCCCCCCTCCTCCACCATCGCCCTTTGTTCCCTTTCACCTCATCATACCTTATTTCCCTTCTTTCCTTCCCTTTAAACAACCATTCCCCACTCTCCCTAACACCCACTAGCCCTACACCCACAACACATACCATCTGGGGCCTTAACTACGGGAGATAATGAGGTAAATGAGGTCAAATAAGCTGGTGTGTAGAGGGACGCTAGGGGACACTCACTCATCACCATCAGGACAAATGCCAGTGTTTTCATCGAATTTGTTACAATAAGCATCTGGGGAGTAGTTAAAGGTGCCATCTCTTCTTCTGATAGGTCTTCGTCGCCTCTGGTTAAGGAAGTGCCAGTGAAAACATGTATAGGGGCGATGCTGAGTACACTTGTGTTGGAGGAAGAGCGTACACTGCTCCACGCGAAATTCCTTCAAATATCTGGAAAAAATGAGGTGGAATAAGACCATCAGCCTCACCATCACTCTCCGCACTCTATTTTCCACTTATTAACACACACCATCACTTATATCACCACCACGTACGTATAATGTATAGGTTTTTCCGTCTGAGTAGCCCAGAGGCTTTTGCTGTCTTGAGACTTCATTTTGTTTGTTTTCCTGAGACTGCGCACACCACCTGCGCACCTCATGACGTCATACTCTCTACAAAACTGAGAGTCTATATTAGATATTTAATTTTTCTCATCTGTAAAAAAATAATTATGATGTAAACGCTGAAAAAATATAAAAATTAATGTAAACTCTATATATTTTGCTTCATTGTTGGAGTAAAGTAATTTAGGTTATTGATTTAAAGGATAATACTATTAATCTTCAATTTGTGAGGGCGGGAAGTGAAGGAATTGCGTCTCTGTCGTGTTTACTGTTGGGCCGACACAAACCTCCATTAAACTTTTATTCAATTTATACATCTTATACAGCTTCATAGACAACGATGACGCCTCTTAAAATAAACAACAGCTGAGGATAAACAACCAAAACATCAAATAATAACCCCACATAGTAATTAAATCTAAAATATAATATAAATTAAATTGTATTTTAAACAAAGAACACGACTAATGGCAATGACTCTTTAATAAAATACGTTCACAGACACTTCTTAAGCGGGATAGATTTTATAACATGTTTCATTGAGTCTCCTTCCTTGTTAATAGCGTCATTTATCGGCTCGGTTGGCAACACACTAAGCAGGAGTCAATGAGTACGATGAGTCGCCATATACGCATTTTCGCCCAATTAATTTGACTCGACAAACATCAAATAAACAACTAATTTCTTCTAAACAATTCTCTAAAAAAAAAACTACTTAGATAAATACGTCGTAAAATATTAAATTCATTGGGTAATATTAACTCCATAATGGGAATATTAATACCGCATATAGCCTCATTGTAATACCTATATATGCTATCATTATCTCCTATCTTCCTTAGATTAAATACAAATTCACAAATGTTCGTACAGTAAATATTCCCCTTAACAAAATATACAATAAAACTCGTAACTATATATAAAAACCACCTTAATTATATACAACACAAACTACAATAAAAATACAATAATACTCTACTTTAATAAATAATCAATAAAAACAAGATTTAAATCGATATAATAACATAATCCTTAATAAATCTTAAATAAAACTTTAAATTTGACATAAACATAAAATATAATCAAATTAAAGTCTTTTTTATACAAATTGGCGCCATTTTTGGATAGAAGGTTCAATACTTCACCTTAATTTACTAGTTAATAGTAGTCTAAGATCTTTATTTATGAGGAAATTAAGGAAACTATATCGTATGAAACTTTCTGAATCTGAACTATATATTTTGGTACTGAAAACTATTCCCTTGAGGCTATTTTAACTCTTTAATAATACTACTGCTACTACGAGTTGGGGAGTGGCTATATGCTACTGTTGTTCCTATTAGTTATTGTATATTTGTGATTTGTTATTGATTTTTTGTTAGTTAGGTTTAGTTCAGGAATGCTAGTGTTTGCTATTGATGATTGAGTGTTTTTGTTGCTATTAGTTACTGAATACTAGTGTTTATGTTGCTATTAATTACTGAATGCAAATGTTTTTATTGCTATTAGTTTCTGAATGCTAGTGTTTTTCCTTAACCTAACCTACTATTAACCTGACAAGCATTCTAGTTTATTTTATGCTATGACTCAGTAAGTTAACCTAACCTAATCGTATCTAACTAAACTTAACTTGAACATAATCTTACCTAACCTAACCTAACCTAACCCCCACATCGCGTTAGGGTGTTTAATCATTAGATGAAATAAGCTGGGGTGCTTAATCCTCAGGTAAACCAAATAAACTAAGAAAAATAAATGGGAAAAATAAAATGAATATTGTGCTTTTAAATCACATTAAACCTAACCTAATGTCCATATTTGTACCAGAATCCAGTCGTTGTTATAATTATCATGGTGAATTTTTGTTATCTCTTCTACTTTTAGTTTTAGTTATATTTTTTTGTTATATTGTTCATGAGAAACTGAACAATAGCAATAACAAGAACAACTCACTCCAACAAAAACTCTCCCTCTATGTAGTTTTTATTTTGTCATCTTTATTTGCTTATGTATTTTTATTTTCAATTTGTGTATAAATTAAGTTATATTGATAATTTCTTATTTTAAATATACTTGGGTTTGTTAGTTTTAATACATTTGGTTTTAGAAATTTATACTGTTTTTAATGGTATTTAGTTCGGAATTTATTTTCTTACTGGTTTAACATTTATATAAAAATTTTAAAGGAATTATGTCTTATCTAGTATTTATTAGTTAAGAATTGATTAAAAGATAAATTGAATTAGATTATAGAACCATCTATCAATAATATATCCATTAATTTCATCACCAAGCATCACATGTGTTATAATAAAACCACAAAACAGTTTATATAATTTATTAAACTTAATATTCTACACCTGGTCATCAAGCTGTAAATGACTAAACTAATATTACATTGTTGAGCTGTGAAAATATTTATCATGTTTTTATTTGTCACTCTGTAGGTAAGTCGTTTTTATTTGTTCAGTGTTCTCGGGTGTTCAGCGCCTCCCCCCCCCCCTCCCAGTGCCTGTGATGAACACTGCTATATTTTTACCTTTTCATGTGATGGGTTAAAGCACAGTAAGGCTTGCATTTGAAAATACTGTACACCTACATATTTATTTACATTAAAAGTGTATTTGGTTATTATATATTCAGTTTCCAGCTAAAAATGGATTCGTGTACATTATGTTGAGCTTTCCGCTAAAAGTGGATTATTTCTTCCACTTCACTATATATCCACCTTATGTCCACACTCCCCATCCACTAACAAATTACAAGTCATATATTAATGGTGCCTTGATAAACCTACGGTGTAAAAAGTTATTAAAATTAGTTTACATTGAGCTATTGTATTCCTATATGAGCTGAACTACCAACACTAACAACACATCAGTTTTTATCCATATAATATGCATAAGATTAAATATTATTATTATATTTAGTGTTTCTTGAGGGTGTAAGTAGGTTTGGTTGTGTCTATCATTATGTCGACATTTTGGTTTCGAAAATTTATATATATTAAACAAAAAATAAATTTACATTAATTTCCCTCTAGATATGGAAAACTTAAGGAGTATTATTATTTTTTTTTATTGGAAGAATTATTTAGCTTATTGGAAGAGTTATGTAGAGAATTTCCAGGAATTTCTGTATTTATATTAATCATCTCTCATAAGTCTTTCCCGCCTAATTAGATTGAGCTGAGCAAGAACCGTGGGTGGTCATGCGGCGGGTAATGCTCGTCAAAGTTATTCTTATTTCTTGTGTTTATTGGCAGTTATGGGTCCTGAAGGTATTACTAGACAGTCTGTATTATTAGTAAGTGTTATTTATTATGTTTATTGGTAGTCTTAGATCCTGGAGGAGGTAATATAGGAGACATAAGTGATATTTCCTCGGCAGGCGTAGATCCTAGTGGCGATAACTCAGAACGCTATTATTACATATTATTCCCTATAGTTAATGTCTAAGGATAGTCATATTTTATAAACCTTTCCAATAGGGATTAATTGACTCGTAATATCGTCCATTTACGTAGATATTAAACTGGTCGTGGCTATTCTCAGTTACAGCTCACACCTCTGTCAGCGCCGAGGTCACTGTACTGTCATATCCTGGGTATAATTATAAACAACATTTGTGACCAGACATAAACTGATCATATTATTATTTATCTTCGTGTGTCACTGCAGTTCAGTACATGTGAATACTATGATGAATCTGTTTCGTGTCTGTCTATGTATGTATATGCAGGTGGTGACGTGTGTATATATATATGTATTTATGTATATATATGTAAGTGACGTGTGTATGTATGTATTCAGGTGGTGACTGTATGTACTGTATGTATGTATGTAGGTGGTGACGTGTGTGTGTGTGTGTATAGATGGTAAATACACACACACACAAGCTGTGACATTCCCGGTTTCGTAATAAAAATAAATTCAGAGCTGGATGAGTGTAGTGACCATTCCCATTCTGAAAACTGTCGCCTCTCATAACGCTATTTTTCTAATCCTTCTGGTAAAATGTATATATATATTTTTTACTTTTATATTATGTTAATATTTTATACGTTTAATTTATTTTTTAATATATAATATGAATATAACAATTAACCTGTTTAACGAATATATTATAAGCATTTATATATATATATATGTATATATATATATATATATATATATATATATATATATATATATATATATATATATATATAGAGAATATTAGTAGCAGATTTGTATATGTTGATAATCACAAGGCTTGTGTTGAAACATGATTTCAGGGTGAGTACAGACTATACTACCCCTGAAGATGCAATTACACGAAAGTTAGAAATCCTGTGTTTTCTTTCTTTTTCCTTGTGGTTATCAAAAGTATATACCTAGGATCACGCAACCACAGTGATTTATTTACATATATATATATATATATATATATATATATATATATATATATATATATATATATATATATATATATATATATATATATATATACGTATATGTATACTGTACTAGGCTTGTGTTGAATCTGCATGATAAATAAAAGCAATGCAGAATTAATAAGAATCACCTGAAGATTACCCACCCCAGTTTATTTCACCTTATTAAACACCCCAATGCTACCTAGGGGGTTAGGTTAGGTTTTGTAAAGTTAGGTTAGGTTGGATTAGTTTTGGTCAGGTTTGGCCAGGCTAGATTAGGTTAAGTTAGTGTTAAGGTGTTTAACCATCAGGTGAAATAAGCTGGGGTGGCTAATCTTCAGGTGAAATCAGAAATAAATCTGTCAATATTGAATTACTGTGCACGGGCCTAGCAAACGACCACTGCACCGGCCTAGCAAACGACCACTGCACCGGCCTAGCAAACGACCACTGTGCACGGGCCTAGCAAACGACCACTGTGCACGGGCCTAGCAAACAACCACTGTGCACGGGCCTTGCAAATGGTCACTGTGCACGAACTTATCAAACAACCACTGCACATGCCTAGCAAACGACCACTGCACAAACCTAGGAAACAACCACTGCACAAGCGTAGCAAACGACCACCGTGCACGGGCCTAGCAAACGACCACTACACAAGCCTAGCAGTAATTGAAACCCTGGAGACTGGAATGGTAAATATAAAATAAACTTCAGTTGAAAAAGACCCGCCTTTTATCCAGGCGATGCGGTGTATTGACTAGTGTAACCTCTGTTTAGCGAACTATGGATAGGAGAGTCCGTTATATCGAGGGTCCGTTAGATGTAAAACCTCCATATAATGAACTATATAGATGAAAGTCGCTATATCGAGGAACCGTTAGATGTAAAACCTCCATATAATGAACTATATAGATGAAAGTCGCTATATCGAGGAACCGTTAGATGTAAAACCTTCATATAACGAACTATATAGATGAAAGTCGCTATATCGAGGAACCGTTAGATGTAAAACCTTCATATAACGAACTATATAGATGAAAGTCCGTTATATGGAGGTTTAACTACTGTATTATATTTTTGGGTCAACTGAGGATTAAACACACGAGGGTTGTTTCTCCTGGTTAAATTATGTAGCGTTACTTTGAGGGTTAGGTTAGGTTAGTGTTAGGTTAGGTTAGTGTTACGTTAGGTTAGTGTTACGTTAGGTTAGTGTTACGTTAGGTTAGGTTAGTGTTACGTTAGGTTAGTGTTAAGTTAGATTAGTGCTAGGTTAGGTTAGGTTAGTGTTAAGTTAGATTAGTGCTAGGTTAGGTTAGTGTTAGGCTAGGTTAGTGTTAGGTTAGTGTTAGCGTTACGTTAGATTAGTGTTAGGTTAGGTTAGTGTTAAGTTAGATTAGTGTTAGGTTAGGTTAGTGTTAGGTTAGGTTAGTGTTACGTTAGGTTAGTGTTAGGTTAGGTTAGTGTTAAGTTAGATTAGTGCTAGGTTAGGTTAGTGTTACGTTAGATTAGTGTTAGGTTAGTGTTAGCGTTACGTTAGATTAGTGTTAGGTTAGGTTAGTGTTAGCGTTACGTTAGATTAGTGTTAGGTTAGGTTAGTGTTACGTTAGATTAGTGTTAGTTTAGCGTTAGGTTAGGTTAGATGAGTGTCAGGTTAGAATAGATTAAATTAGAGTCAAGTTAGGTTAGATTAAATTAGCCTCAGGTTCGGTTAGATTAAATTAGCGTTAAGTTAGGTTAGATTAAATAAGCGTTAGGTTAGGTTAAGGTGGTTGGTTAATCGCAAGGTGAAATTTACTGGGAGGGTAAATCTTTATGTGATCCGAAACATTACCACATATTATCGTCTGATTTTAATAAGTTCGTATGTTTATTTTATCACTAACTGTAGTCACGTCTCGGTGTACTATTGAGCATTTTGTTTGCCATTGTTCTGTTGCAGCGTAATTGAACTTGAATCTTTGAGAATCCATCTTTGTGTGGTAGCTGAAGTGAGTCAGTTAGATACGTTCTCACATCACCAGTTAGGAGGAAAATTGAACTTAGGAACCTTTGAGAATCTATCTTTGTGTGGTAGCTTAAGTGAGTCAGTTAGATACGTTCTCACATCACCAGTTAGGAGGAAAATTGAACTTAGGAACCTTTGAGAATCCATCTTTGTGTGGTAGCTTAAGTGAGTCAGTTAGATACGTTCTCACATCACCAGTTAGGAGGAAAATTAACTTAGGAACCTTTGAGAATCCATCTTTGTGTGGTAGCTTAAGTGAGTCAGTTAGATACGTTCTCACATCACCAGTTAGGAGGAAAACTTAACGTAGGAACCTTTGAGAATCCATCTTTGTGTGGTAGCTTAAGTGAGTCAGTTAGATACGTTCTCACATCACCAGTTAGGAGGAAAATTGAACTTAGGAACCTTTGAGAATCCATCTTTGTGTGGTAGCTTAAGTGAGTCAGTTAGATACGTTCTCACATCACCAGTTAGGAGGAAAATTTGGAACCTTTGAGAATCCATCTTTGTGTGGTAGCTTAAGTGAGTCAGTTAGATACGTTCTCACATCACCAGTTAGGAGGAAAATTGAACTTAGGAACCTTTGAGAATCCATCTTTGTGTGGTAGCTTAAGTGAGTCAGTTAGATACGTTCTCACATCACCAGTTAGGAGGAAAATTGAACTTAGGAACCTTTGAGAATCCATCTTTGTGTGGTAGCTTAAGTGAGTCAGTTAGATACGTTCTCACATCACCAGTTAGGAGGAAAATTGAACTTAGGAACCTTTGAGAATCCATCTTTGTGTGGTAGCTTAAGTGAGTCAGTTAGATACGTTCTCACATCACCAGTTAGGAGGAAAATTGAACTTAGGAACCTTTGAGAATCCATCTTTGTAACAATTAAAAGGAGTCAGATATATTCTCGTATCTCCAGCGACATAAAAATTTCACTTACGATCTTTTGAGACTAAACCCTGGTAGTAAAAGTTTAATCTGTGTGTAAGTCATGTAGCTGCGAGTCCACCTTTTAGTATTAGTGTAAAAACATAGTTGTCTCCAGGCTAGCAGACGTGAGCTGGGTATACAACTATGGTCTAGCTGGGGTAGTCTGGGGCTTTGTTTAAATACTGTTGTTGTGTGTTGTGTGTGTACTTGTGCAGGTAGTGTGTGTGTGTGTGTGTGTGTGTGTGTGTGTGTGTGTGTGTGTGTGTGTGTGTGTACCTGTGGCGGCAGTGGTGATGATAGCTATATCAGTCATTTTAGTGGTACTTGAACCAGGTGTGTGACTCCGAGGGTTGTGGTGGTGGTAGTGTTTGTGATGGGTTTAACTGGTTGTGGTAGGTCATTATTCTCAAACAGGTGTAGTACGTCGGTGGTGTGGTAGGGGAGAGTGACCCCCCTCCCCCACGCCACCACCATGACCTCCACCTTCCATGTGTTGAAGTTCCCCCTCCCCTGCTCGGGGGTGTTGGTAATACTGCCTTTGGTGCTGTTGGTAACATTGCTGATAGGGCTGTGGGTAGTGGTGTGGGTGAGGGCTGTGGGAGGAGTGGGTGGTTGGGAGGTGGTGTGGAGGGGAAGAACATGGGGAGGAACATGGTAGGCGGGGATGTGTTGGGGAGGTGCCGCCGTGTGGGCAGGTCATGGACGGCCAGGGGAAGGAGGTGTTGTATCGGCCTCCTGCCGCAGGTCTGGTCAGGTTACAGGGTGCGGGAGCCCTGGGATCACCGCCTGCACCTTCCTCAGCATAGCAGCAACAACAACAGTAGTAGCAGGAGTCACAGCAGGTGCAGCAGGCGGGACAGGGAGTTTCCCCGGCAGTAGACAGGAGTCTCTGTGGGTGAGGGAGCTCGCCTCTTGTTCGGTTGAATGTCGCGCCCCTGGGGAGGGAGTTGTATCTTCGGGGGTCTTGTACGGGGGCACTTCTGGCTAGCAGCCCTCCCTCTATGGAGATGCCCCTGGGTAAGGTGCCTCCATCTATGGAGGTGCCCCTGGGTAAGGTGCCTCCCTCTATGGAGATGCCCCTGGGTAAGGTGCCTCCCTCTATGGAGATGCCCCTGGGTAAGGTGCCTCCCTCTATGGTGAAGCCCCTGGGTAAGGTGCCTCCCTCCACAGAGCTCCTCCTAGTTAGGGCTCCCCTCTCCAATGAGACGCTCCGACTTAACGTCCCTCCGACCATGGACTCGCCCCTGGACGGCACCCCTCCATCCCTAAAGGCAGCCTTGGGCACCGTCCCTCCCGCACTGGGGGCGGACATAGGCCGGTCCTGCACGTCACTGCTCCAGGACACACACAGACTGGCTCCCCGCGGTAAACTCCTGCTGAGCTTCTGAGAGCGAGGTAATGACCCGCCGCCCCCAGAGGTCAACACCCTGTCCCAGCAGACGTCCTTGTGGAGGTCGGTGAGGGAACGTCCTCCACGAGGCCGTTCAGAGAAGGACGTGGCTGGAGGGGGTGCAGGAGGAACGAGAGGGGCGGGAGGAGCATCGTCAGAACTCCAACTTGACCGTCGTCGTGAAGATCGTCTGACGGGGAGACAGGACGCACTCCGACGGTCGAGTGAATCACTGGCGTTGTGTAGAGCTACTTTCTGGCTCCTCCCTGAGTCCTGACGATGTTGTTGACGGTCCTGACGTTGCTGACGGTGCTGACGGCCCTCCTGACGGTTGACGTGGTTATCATACCGATGAGGGTTGGGAGGGAGTTGGTTGAGGTGGTGCGTCGTTGGGGTGTAGTGGTTGGGGACGTGGTTGTGGTGGAGGCTATCGCGGTGTTGGGGGTCCAGCGAGTACTCCAACATGTAGTGACCACCTGACCTGTAATAATAATAATGATAAGACTAACAACAACAATAACAACAACAATAATAATATTAATAATATTAATAATAATAATAATAATAATAATAATAATAATAATAATATGCCAATAAAATTAATGTTAAATAAATAATATATAAAATAATCCACTTCTCTATATTTATTTTAATATTAAACTTGAATCTTTAACAGTAAATCAATATACAATATCTTAATGTATACACAACTAAATATGACTTTGAAATTAATTAATAACTAAACTAACATAATGCTTATCTTTTGAGAAATAGGTAATTTATCATAGAATTTGACATTGATTTTGAATAACTTTGATACAGGGAAGATATAAATGTTTTATGGTTGAATAAATGATTTTCAACGTTATCATTAGTGGCTGGGGCCTATTAGGTGTGGGGGGTGTAGTTGACTTACCTGGGGGAGGATGGGGGGCGTGGGGCGCGGCAGGTGAGAGTGTGGGGGCCGTGTATGAGTGGGCGTGGTGGGGCTCCTACCATCAAGCTTTGTTGACATTTCTGTTGCCACTCACGCTGCCGGGAGAGACAGGTAGTGTTATCGTACGGCCGCCAGCAGCACTATGTTTACGTCGGTGTGAGGATTACTACTACTACTACTACTACTACTACTACTACTTTAGAACGTAGCCTTCATCCTCCCCCTATAGCCACACCTTCGCCGCCATTTTATTACCTTAAAATTAAATATCCTGAAGCTACTACTACTACTACTACTACTACTACTACTACTACTACTACTACTACTACTACTACTACTGCCAATAATAATGCAAATAATAATGATAATGATTTAATAATTCTTGTTAACCAGATATAAATTAATATTATCTTGGAAAGAGATTAGATTACGAAGGTGTGTTGATAATACCTTCATTATGCTAATTAGTGTTATATATTATATGGTGTTAATAGATAAAGCTATGAGAGAGAGAGAGAGTAACTGATTAAATGATAGATAGATGGAGAAAGAAGTGAGAGAAAAAGATAGATAGATAGATAGATAGATAGATAGATAGACAGACAGATAGATAGATAGATAGATAGATAGATAGATAGATAGATAGATAGATAGATAGATAGATAGATAGATAGATAGATACCTGTAAAATAAATATAATACCGATTAATACATATACACATACAGCTGTATAAGCAAACATTATACCAGTATATACACTTAATATAGCACAATAGACACACAAATATAGCTGTATAATAAGCACATATAGCTGTATAAACAAACATAGAGCAGCTATAAACTCACACCCAGACTAATATAGCTGTATAAACCCATAACCACAAATATAGCTGTATAATAAACAAATAAACACATATATAGCTGTATAAACCCATAAACACACATATACAGCAGCTATAAACCCACACCCACACTAATATAGCAGCTATAAACCCACACCCACACTAATATAGCAGCTATAAACCCACACCCACACACATACAGCAGCTATAAACCTTCACCCACACACATACAGCAGCTATAAACCCACACACCCACACTAATATAGCAATATAAACCCACACTAATAAAGCAATATAAACCACACCTTATGCCAGTAGATATAGAGGAATATAGCAGTTATACCAGCGGTCTCAGTCGTCACAAAGCCGAGCATCAATAGAAGGAAACACCAGCCGTAAGAGTAGGTGAATCTCGGAGGCTGGAATGATGATCTGGGTCTTAACTTATCACCGACTTCCCCCTTGAGTGTGGCTATGTAGATCACCACGCCTAGCATCATCACCAAGCCTGTAGGGATGGATAGATGGATGGGTTGATGGATAGATGGATGGATTGATAGATTGATGGATGGATACTTCAACTCCACGTCTAACATCATCAAGCCTGTGAGGATGGATAGGTGGATGGATGGATGGATGGATAGATTGATTGATGGATAGATAGATGGATGGATACTTCAACTCCACGTCTAACATCATCAAGCCTGTGAGGATGGATAGGTGGATGGATGGATGGATGGAAAGATTGATTGATTGATTGATGGATGGATATTTCAACTCCACGCCTAACATCACCAAGCCTGTGGGGATGGATAGATGGATGGATGGCTAGATGGATATATGGATGGATGGATGGATTGATAGATAGATGGATGGCTACTTCAACTCCACGCCTAGCATCATCAAGCCTGTGAGGATGGATAGATGGATGGATGGGTGGATTGATTGATTGATTGATTGATGGATAGATAGATGGATGGATACTTCAACTCCACGCCTAACATCACCAAGCCTGTGGGGATGGATAGATGGATGGATGGATAGATTGATTGATGGATTGATGGATAGATGGATGGATACTTCAACTCCACGCCTAACATCACCAAGCCTGTGGGGATGGATAGGTGGATAGATGGATGGATGGATAGATCACCAAGCCTGGAAGAGAGGGTGTTTGGGGTGTAAGGATGATAGGGTGGGTGCTTAAGAGTGTGGGGATGATCTGAGGGTGTGTGGGGAGACATGGGGAAGGTGTGGGTAAACATGGGGAAGGTGTGGGTGTGGGGGGATGAAGGAAAAGTGCATGGGGAGGCGAAGGGAAGGTGTGGTGGGGAGGGTGTGGGAATGTGGGGAGACGTGGGTGTGTGGGGAGACGTGGGTGTGTGTAGGTGGGTGTGTGTCAGAGGGCGGGGTTAATCTCTCGTGTTCCAAAGTAAACATTACACCCTGTCACACCTCTGGTCTTGTTGTTGTTATTATATTGGTATTGTTGTTTTAATTATTATTATTATTATTATTATTATTATTATTATTTTTATTATTTTGTTATTTTTATTATTATTTATTATTATTATTATTACATTATTATTATTGTTTTTGTTATTATCCTCATCACTTATAATAATCTACCTTACAGATTCACTCCTTCATGACTTCACACTAACCAGTCGTGACCTAAGATGACCCAGAATAACCAATGACCTAAGATGACCCCAGGATGATGACCTCACTGACCTGCCACGACGAAGATGATGCCTGAGACGAAGGTGAAGAATCGTCGTCTTCTGCAGCAGTGACCATTGAGACACAGTACCTCAGCCACGCCCAACAGCACCGCCGCCGTCAGGAAGTAACCCACTGACTTGAGCACCGTGTCTGTAGGTAACCCCCCCCCCAGTAGCCACACCGTCAGCACCAGTAGCCACACCGTCAGCACCAGTAGCCACACCGTCAGCACCAGTAGTCACACCGTCAGCACCAGTAGCCACCGCAATCAGCACCAGTGATCACACCATCCCAGCACCAGTAGCCACACCGTCGGCACCAATATGCAATCAGCACCAGTAGTCACACCGTCAGCACCAGTAGCCACAAATCGCGCACCAAGTATACACCGTCCTTTCAGTAACCACATAAATCAGCACAGTAGCCACACAATCGGCACCAGTAATCCACAAATCAGCAACCAGTAACCACACTAATCAACACCAATGTCCACCGTCAGCACCAATCTTCACACAAATCGCTGCAGTAGCCACAATCGGCACCAGTAACCACAATCAGCTTTTAGTAGCCATATCTGATCCTTGCCAGTAGCCAAAATCAGCACCAGTATTTTGATCAGCAGTATTACACCAATCAACACCAATTATACACAAACGTCGGCACAAGTAAGCCACCGTCAACTGATAGATCTACTACGTGGCACCAGTAATACTGGTCAACACCAGTAGCCACACAACAAGTCAGCACAGTAATACAAGTCAGCACCAGTAGCCACACCGTCAGCACCAGTAGCCACACCGTCAGCACCAGTAGCCACACCGTCAGCACCAGTAACCCAGTAGCCACACCGTCAGCACCAGTAGCCACACCGTCAGCACCAGTAGCCACACCGTCAGCACCAGTAGCCACACCGTCAGCACCAGTAACCACACCGTCAGCACCATGGAAAGGAAAATGGGATGTGAGTAATAAACAATTAGGTGTAGGTGACATAAATTAGGTGTAGGTGACATAAATTAGGTGTAGGTGACATAAATTAGGTGTAGGTGACATAAATTAGGTGTAGGTGACATAAATTAGGTGTAGGTGACATAAATTAGGGTTTATGTTAAAGCCACTTACAAGAGGTACTTTAATGGTAATGACTTGGTACTTACAAGAGACACTTTCCACTACTAACAGTCACTTACAAGAGGTACCTATCAGCAAATTTAGAGGTACTTGGGGGTGTACTTACAGGGTATGGCAGTAGTTGAATCGTGTGGGTCAGGGCTGTAAGTCTCCGAGGGAAAGTAGTCAATCTTAGAACACCTGAACTCCGTCTTGCCTACTGTCGAGGAGAGAAAGTGTCGTGAGATTTGGTCGTAAATTCTCAAAAGGTTCTTACGTTCAATTGACCTCTTAACTGTTGATGGGGGAACCTATCTAACTCACCTAAGTTACGACGCAAAATTATGGTCGAGTGGGAGGTGTAACGCCAGTACGAGCAACCAACAGCGTCTGGCGTCCATTTCACCTGTTAATAACATGCTTTTGGGTTCTGCGCCAGGCGAATGTAACATATAACCCACTGCCAGTACTAGCACTCATTAGCGCCAGGGATTCCTCTCTTTAAGGGATTATATGGATTGAGAAGTCCGCTATATCGAGGATCCGTTAGATGTGAAACCTCCATATAACGGATTAAAAGGACACACACACACAGCCACACTACACCACACCAGCAGCTCACCACACTACACCACCACCACACCACACCAGCAGCTCACCACACTACACCACACCAGCAGCCTCAACACAACAGCTCTCTCACACACACACACACACACACACACACACACACACACACACACACACACACACACACACACACACACACACACACACACACACACACACACACACACACATAAACCCGTCCCATCTAGGTAAGTGACTGATGCCCCCAGAATAAGACGACCATCCGGAACTAAAGGAGATGAAGTGTGTCTCTCTGGGGCTCTTGGACAAAATGCCGTTGGATATAATACTGTTGGACAAAATACCGTTGGACAAAATACCCTTGGATATAATACTGTTGGACAAAATACCGTTGGACAAAATACTGTTGGACAAAATACCGTTGGATATACTACTGTAGGACGAAATACCGTTGGATATACTACTGTTGGACGAAATACCGTTGGACAACATACCGTTGGATATAATGTTGGACAAAATATCATTGGACAAAATACCGTTGGACAAAATACTGAACAAACTACCCAAAAGAATTTATTATTATTATTTTTATTATTATTATTATTATTATTATTATTATTATTATTATTATTATTATTATTATTATTATTATATTTAATATTACACCAAATCCTATTGAAGAGAAATATTTCCCAGTCATGAGGAAACATATCTACCGAGAAGAGATATATCCAGGAGAGAGAGAGAGAGAGAGAGAGATGAGAGAGAGAGAGAGAGAGAGAGAGAGAGAGAGAGAGAGAGAGAGAGAGAGAGATGAGAAAGAGAAAGAGAGAGAGTTAGGTATTGAGAGAAAGAGTGAGATATTGAGAGAGAGAGAAAGTGAGATATTGAGAGTTATATCTCCCCAGTGCTCCCGGCTAAGATATCCCTCACACCACACATAAGTAACAAACCTACATTACTGTCATAAACTTCCTACTCAACCTTGACACCTTGGGTACACGGGTTCGATACTCCTTCATGGGGTCATTAGGTCGAATCTCCTTCATGTAGGTTTGATGCGTCGGATTCTGGGAAGGGTTCGAACCTTTTTCATCATTACTGAGGTACGAACATCCTTTCCACTCCACCACATCCACTTTTCCATCGTTATTAACATCCATTCCACTCCACATCCACTTTTCCACCAGTACTTACACCCATTCCACTCCTCATCCACTTTTCCACCATTAACATCCATTCCACTATCTACATCCACTTCTCCATACCTAATAACATCCACTTCACTCTACATCCGCATTTTCGCCATCAGCCGTCACCATAACAGCCACAGACACACGGTCCCATTAGCGAGTGACACAGCTATTGTTAAAAGCCCTCTCCCTCCCTCCTCTCCCCCAGAATGGTTACGTCACAGCTAAGGGGGAGGGGTGAGGGGAAGGGGAGGGGTGAGAGGGGGGAGGGGATAAAGGGGTGAGAGGGGGTGAGGGTGAGGGGGGTGAGGGAGGAGGGGAGATAGGGGGTGTTTGAGTTACTATAGTGGGGGAGGGAGGGGAGGAGAGGGGAGGGGAGGAGAGGGGAGGGGATAATTGTAAATAATATTATTGTTCTTGTTATTGTTTTTTCTTTTGTTGTTACTGTTCTTATTTATATTATTATTACGTTAACTTAAGGTTAGGTTAGGTTAGGTTGGGTTAGGTTGGGTTGGGTTAGGTTGGGTTAGGTTAGGTTAGGTTAGGTTAGGTTGGGTTAGGTTAGGTTTGGTTAGGTTAGGTTAGGTTAGGAATATTCACATCAGGAACCATTGTTAATCTTGACTTAAATCCTACAAGCAATGGCTAAGACTCTTGGTACATTATCTTATTATAACTTGTGGTGACTTACTGAGGCTCTCCACCCCTCCCCAGGTAATATCCCAGAGGCCTTGTCGTAAATAACAATGCCAGTAAGAGCAATCAACACCGCCTGGCGAATCGTCTTCTATCGCCAGTAATACAGATGATTGAACTTAGGAACCTTTGAGAATCCATCTTTGTGTGGTAGCTTAAGTGAGTCAGTTAGATACGTTCTCACATCACCAGTTAGGAGGAAAATTGAACTTAGGAACCTTTGAGAATCCATCTTTGTTGTCGTAAGTTAAATGAAGCAGCCGGGCCTCGTTGTCATATCACCAGCCAAGGGGGAACATTAATATGGCTGAGTGAGAGCAACAAGGCGAGGGGCTGGTGCAAGTTGGTCTATGAATATGCATGTTTATGACAACTCTGTCTTGACGTCTTTGAAATTATTGTATAACTTAATGTTGTGGTTTGTGTGTGTGTGTTGGGGTGTGTGTGTGTGTTGGGGGGGGGTCGTGTGTGTGGTGTAGGTGCGTGTGTGTGGGATGGGTGCGTGGGTGCGCGTGTAATATGTATATACAGTATATATATGGTTACGTTAGATTATGTTAGATTAATTAATAACGAGAGACGAGGACTTACCTTCAGTAGCACAGAGTGTAAAGAGACCGCTGACTGTACACTTAGTGAGATACTCGACCTTGGAGGAGCCGTTCCTGTAGGAGGGGTTAGGGATCCTTTCCTCTGAGGTGAGCCAAGAGCTTCCTCCTATAGCCGTCAGCACACAGGCGCCGCTCACACATGCTGCCACGGGCGTCCCCAGCCATAGGATGTGCACTGTGGCATCCAGACTCAACATCCTACCGTCCGAGGCTCTTAGCTGGTGTTGAGACGCCCCAGGTTTGTTGATGGTGGTGCTGGAAGGAGGGGCTGTCTCTCTCAAATCCCTCAGGAACACTTTTGCCTTTCTTCCTTGAGCTGGGAGGAATGTTTAGGTTCTTAACTAGCACTGAAACTTTTATGGGTTATTGATGTGGGTGCTGGGAGGAGGTGGCGCGTCTCTCAGATCCCTCAGAAACACCGTATATTTTCCTTGAGGTAGATCACATCAAGTTCCTTAAGTGGCACTGAGACGTTCCTGCTTTGTTGATGGTGGAGCTGGGAGGAGGTGGTGCGTCTCTCAGATCCCTAAGAAACACCTTCGCATATTTTATTTGATGTAGATCACGTCGAGGTCCTTAAGTGGCACTGAGACGCCCCTGGCTTATTGATAGGAACACTCAGGAACACTAGTCTATCTTCCTTCTGCTGCTACATCACACTCAGGTCCTCAGGCTAGATCAGGATGCCTCTTAGCCAGTTCCCCAGGAGTGTTGCTTAAACACCCGGTCTTTTAGATACCTTCAGCAGGGTCTTAGGGTCTCGGGTGATGTAAGGACGCTTGTAGCTGAGTCTTCGTGTTGCTGATACTGTTTCTTGATTCACGTAACAGCTCCTTTTACCATGAACCAGTTTATTTTTTAGCAAGCAAACGTTTTTAATGCATTTTAGATGGCCCTGTGGCTTGAAGCAAACGTTTATCATGCACTAGAGGGTCCCTGTGAATTGAAGCACTCGTTAGTTAGCGAGCAAACGTTTTTATTACACTTTAAAGATCCCTGTGACTTGACGCAAATGTTTTTAGCAAGCAAACGTTTTTAATACACTTTAAAGATCCCTGTGACTTGACGCAAATGTTTTTAGCAAGCAAACGTTTTTAATACACTGTAGAGAGTTTGACCTAGTATCTTACACCCTTGTGGCTTAAAGCTGGCGTAGTTCTTGCAAGCAAATCCTTTCTTAATGTAGCCCCTTGTGAGTTGAAGGTGTTGTATTTCCTGCAAGCAAAACTGTTTCTTAATAACTTACACGTCTCTAGGTTCCTATTTGAACGTTTGTGACTTAAAGCATTCATTTTCTTGCAAGCAAATCATTCCTTAATGCACCTACGAATTGCTGGGATAATGCCAAGCCGGACCTAGCATACACCACTTGTTTTTCTTAGCTAGGACAACTATCTTTCACTGTCTTTTAATTCACCTAGCAAGCTTTTAAGCTATTTGGATTAGTAGGTCGATACAAGCATGATTCCTGGCTAGCTAATTGTTCCCTTTTTGCTAGCTGCTATTCTTATATGGAATACTATTATTTCAGTACTAGTTTGATATTGCCACTGCTATTTCCCCTCTACCTTCCTCACTCGCTCTCATTTTCACTCTTTCTCTCACTTTATCTATATATCTCCTTCACTGTCACTCTCTCTGCTCTATCTCTCCCCCTCCCTCACCTGGCGACTAATTACTTGGTGTAGCGGCTCACCTGTCCTTGCCTGACTACCTGTGTCTAATACTCCTTGATGAAGACTTTCTCATCTCTCTCTCTCTCTCTCTCTCTCTCACCTGACCGACTTTCTGATAGAAGTTTTTCCCTACGTGAAGATCAATATTCTTCTTCTTACTATGCAGTTTGTTTTATCAGCTTTCTGTTACAGTGTCTTGCCCTTTGCCTTCCTTATCAAGTGAAAACCTTGCCAAGTGAAATCCAACACAATATCCGAACTTAAAACCACAAAACATTGAACAAAAATAACATTCTAATAAATTAGTTTAGAGATCAAGACAATAACTTACTTAGAAACTAGAAAAAAACATAACTTATTATTCCAGTAAGTTACTTCAGAAACCAACACTCTAACTTAGAAACCAGAAAACATTGACAAAAATCTAAACTTAATATTCCTTCACCTCTAACCTCTCTCTACTAAGTTCTTTAATGTAAACATAAACTTTATCTCTGACACTCAACTCTGTATTCAAGTTTCTTTTAATTAAGTTGATTTTAAGTTTATTAATGTCGACTTTTAAATGGGGTTTAATTCCTAGTCTGCCCAGCGTTTGTTGAGTCGTCTCATGAGCTCTATTTCAACAGGTATGGGAGGATGACGTCACAAGCAGCAGGTGTACATAGATGACGTCACTATCAGATGTTTACACGGATGACATCACTGTCAGGTGGCTACAGATGGCGTCACTATCAAAAGTGTGTAGATGACGTCACAATCAACAAGTGTACACAGATGACGTCACAACCAACAGGTGTCTACAGATGACGTCACTATCACCAGGTAAGCACATACAGTATATGGGTTTTCTAAGTAGGTGTGGTTGGCTTCTACACCTGCAGGTTTGCCTCTTCACATGTGTCATACACCTGTAAGAAGAGAGGCATTAATTAGTGCTATAATACCTAAAATTATATGTAAATTATACGAGATTATCAGACGTAGTTATAATTGAAATGAACAAAATTTAAAACTATCATTCGTATTTATTAAAACTTATTATCATGGTTTATCATTTATAATTAAACCTATAATCCTTACGTATTACAGATGATGATTACAAATGATGCAAAATTATTCAGTTAATTATCCTCCAAATTATACTAAACTGTCAAAAGTATTTATCATTCCTAAATATAGAAAATAATTATCAATCCAAATTATACATAAATTACAATCATTCTCAGTTATACAAATTATACGAAATACTTATTATAAATTATACCAAATCATACAACTAATTATCTCCCTAAATTATACCAAATCATACAGCTAATTATCATTCTAAATGCAGAAACAAGTAATTATTATTCAAAATTATACCAAATCATGCAACCAATTATCATTCAAATTATACCAGAACAGAGAAAATCTTTAGTAAAATTTAAAGAAACGAAAAAAAAACCCAAATAAATAAATAAATAAAAGTATATAAAAAATATATATTCCGTTTTCTTTAGACCAGGAAGAAATATATTAAGACGTGAAACTTTTACGCCCAAAGTTTTAAATTACAAACTTTTGAAGTATTTATTTCTTAGGCTGTGATGTGTTGGTGGTAATTTGTGGATTATTGTTATTATTGATGTTATTGTTATTATTGTTATTTTATTATTATTATTATTATTATTATTATTATTATTATTATTATTATTATTATTATTATTATTATTATTAGTATTATTATTATTGTTATTATTATTATTCAGTTAAGTCAGGTTTAGTGTAGATTAGGTTAGGTTAAGTCAGGTTTAGTCATGGTTAAATTAAATCTAATCTAGGTTAGGTTTGATTAGGTAAAGTCAGGTTTGCAACAGTTCGGGTGGTGGTGGTGATGGTGGTGGTGGTGGTGGTAGTGGTGATGGTGATGGTGGTAGTGGTGATGGTAGTGGTGATGGTGATGGTGGTAGTGGTTGTAATGGTGGTTGTAGTGGTGGTGGTAGGAGATGGTGGTAGTGGATGGTAGGTGGTGGTAGTGGTGATGGTGGTAGTGGTGACGGTAGTGTAGGACAGGTGGTGGTGGATAGTGGTAGTGGTGCTGTAGTGGTGACGGTGGTGTGGTGGTGGTAGTGGTAAAGACGGTGGTGGTAGGTGGTAGTAAGGATGGTGGTAGTGGTGACGGTGGTAGTGGTGACGGTGGTAGTGGTGATGGTAGTGGGGTAGTGGTGGATTTGGTAGTGGTGGTGGTAGTGGTGATTTGTGGTAGTGGTGATTGGTGGTAGTGGTGGTGGTAGTGGTGACGGTGGTAGTGGTGATGGTAGTGGTGATGGTGGTAGTGGTGACGGTGGTAGTGGTGGTGGTAGTGGTGACGGTGGTAGTGGTGACGGTGGTAGTGGTGATGGTGGTGGTATTAGCGAGCTGTCAACCAAACTGACAAAAGCCTCAATATTACATGGAAGCAAAAACAGTGTGGCAGACATACAGGACAGACAGCCTTCATGTTGTTCCTCTCCTTCATTATTCACAGGGACCAGGAGCTTCTTTCTTTACTCAATTTTATTTTATTTTACTTTATTTTAAGTATATTTTCCGTTGTTTAATTTTTTTTTACTTAATTTTAGATTATTTTAAATTCGAGTTAATTTTACTGTTACATTATTTTACTTAATTTTCACTGTTTTACTTTATTTTAAGTTTATTTTACTTTATTTTACTGTTTTAGTTTATTTTAAGTCTATTTTAGTTTCTGTTACTTTATTTTAACCCAATTTAGATTATTTTAAGTTTATTTAAGTTAATTTTACTGTTTTAATTTATTTTACTAACTTTTACTGTTTTAGTTTATTTTAAGATTATTTTACTTTGCGTGTGTGTTTATGTGTGTACGTCTGTGTATGTATGTATGTATGTGTGTGTATGTCTGTCTGTAGCTCGGTTAAGTTTGTGTTCAATCTAACTAATTACCTCTTAAGGCCTCACCAGTCTCCTCTAACTGGCCGGACACTCGATAAACCTTTAACGGGAGACCAATGGTAATGTTGCCTGAGTGAGTCTTCGTAAATTGTCGTCGTGTGAGAGCTCAAAGTTATGTTTTGTTATTGTTATTATTGTTGTTATTGGTGTTGTTCTTGTTATTATTATTGTTGTTATGATTATTTTTATTCTTATTGTTTTTATTACTGTTATTATTATTGTTATTATTATTATTTTTATTCATATTGTTATTATTAGTTATTATTATTGTTGTTATTATTATTTTTATTCTTATTGTTATTATTACTGTTATTATTATTGTTATTATTTTTATTTTTTATTATTTTTTACGATTATTTGAGGTAATGTAATTGTTCCCAAATTCGCATTGAAAGTTATGTTATATTTTCTGACGTTCACAGTTTAATTATTTCGATTTTCCCAGGTTTAACCAGTTTGATGTTCCCAGCTTAATCAGTTTGATTTTCACAGCTTAATCAGTTTGACGTTCCCAGCTTAACCAGTTTGACGTTCCCAGCCTAATCAGATTGACGTTCCCAGATTAACCAGTTTGACGTTCCCAGCCTAATCAGATTGACGTTCCCAGATTATCCAGTTCGACGTTCCCAGCTTAATCAGATTGGCGTTCCCAGCTAAACCAGTTCGACGTTCCCAGCTTAAGCAGATCGATGTTCCTAGCTTAACCAGTTCGACATTCCCAGCATAACAATTCGACATACCCAGCTTAATCAAATCGAAATTCCCAGCTTAATGAGATCAATTTAATAGGATTTAAATTGATTACACGAACAAATAAAAAAAAATGCGACAAATAATTAAAAATATATCAAAATACCATAAAATATGACCAGAAAGTTACTGAACACAAGACATTTTTCGTTCACTTCTCTTGCTCTTTCAGTCTAGTTCTTTTATTCTCTCTCTCGCCTTATCTCTCTCTCTCTCTCTCATATCTAAAAGGTCGTCTCTATATCGTAAGTCTTAATGTCAAAAAGGGCATCCCGTCAAACCTTTCTGCCAAAAGTTTTTTCCAAATTTTAGGGCGGCGAATCCTCATCCTCATCACCCCATCCCATCACCCCATCACCCCATCACCCCTCCCTATCACCTCCCTAGGTCTTGTATCATGGAAAATTAATTGTCCTGAATGTTGAAGGAACTTACGAGTGGGTGATAAAATATTTGGTAAAATCGCCATTGCTACATGTATACATTGGTTCACCAGATAGATAGATAGATAGATAGATAGATAAATACAGTAGATGGATAGATCGATAGGTAGATAGATAGATAGCAAGTTGATTAAAAAATGCTGTTCAAATTAAAACACACATACACACACACATACACACACACACACACACACATACACACACACACACACACACACACACACACACACACACACACACACACACACACACACACACACACACACACACACACACACACACACACACACACACACACACACACACACACACACACACACACACACACACACACACACACACACACACACACACACACACACACACACACACACACACACACACACACTTCACTAGATCCCATACTATAAACATCTTCACTATTTCCATTTCAAATTAGGCCTCAGCAAAATTGGAAAAAAAATTGTATATAATAAAATTGTCACTTGCTGAATAGACTGAAAATTTATGTAGAGAAAAATTGAACTTTATGGTAATTTTTTTAACCTGATATTTGGATGAGTGATTTATGCAGGCCGGCATTTTGGGGTCCTGTATCCGGCTCCCGGTATAGTATTGTTTTAAGAGCCAGATATGTTATGATTTGTGGAGGATGGAAGTTGGATTATGTGGATGAGTATAGCCAACCTAACCTAGCCTAATCTAACCTAGCCTAACCTAACTTAGGGATTACTCAACTATCCTAACCTAACCTAGAGATTACTGAACTTATTAACCTAACTTAACCGTAATCTAACTATATATTGAGCCTAGTCTGATTTAACCTAACTTAGGGATTACTGAATTAACTTAACCTAACTTAACAGTATGTATCAAGCCAAACCTAATTTAACCTGACCTAATTTAACCTGACCTAATTTACCCTAGCCTGATTTTACTTAACCTATCCTAACGGACTAATTAACAAAATCCGTTATATCAAGGTCCATTAGATGTAAAACCTCTAAATAACGGTTTAAATGTGAGAGAACAGTTCGTTATATAAGTTCCGTTATATACTTATACCAAAGAACAGTTCGTTATATCAAGTTCAATTAATACCAAAGAACAGTCCATTATATCAAGTTCCGTTATACTATACTATTATACTATTACTGTATATTAAAGGATTCCGTTATATCAAGTTCCGTTATACTATACTATTATACTATTACTGTATATTAAAGGATTCCGTTATATCAAGTTCCGTTATACCATTATATCAAAGAACAGTTCGTTATATACAAACTCCACTATATACCATTTTATATTTTCAATTGGACTCTGAAATTATTAATATTCATGAATTTTGAAAAGAACGAAAAAAAATAATGAAAATAGATAAAAATATAGAGTTGCTGTAGAGTTAAGTTATGTAAAGTGACTTATGATTACTGTGTACACTTGGTTAGGTTAGGTTAGGTTTGGTTAGGTTAGCGTTAGGTTAGGTTAGGTTTTGATAAGAGTAGGGTAGGTCTTGTCTTGTCAGGTCAGGTTAGGTTAAGGTCATGTTAGGTTAGGGTAGGTTAGCTTTAGATTAGGTTAGGTTAGGATAGCCTTAGGTTAGGTCAGGTTAGGTCTGGTTAGGTTAGGTTAGCGTTAGATTAGGTTAGGTTAGCGTTAGGTCAGGTCAGGTTAGTTCTGGTTAGGTTAGATTAGGTTAGGTTAGGTTAGGTTAGGTTAGGTTAGGTGTTTTTAAAGAAGAGTTGGTAGGACGGCTAGTA